GGCACAGTGAAGTGGTAATATATGTCATTTGGTTCACTGGGAGCAAAGCACGAAGAACTTTGTGAAAAGACAAGGCGATTATCCAACTTGATTGCTCCAAATGTTACAGCAAAAATAACAAGGACAAAATGGTGAAGCTCATTGCAGACTCTGGCAAAATGTGCCCAGCTGGTGATTATCAAACTAGTGGCTGCCGACAGGAACACATGACAAACTCTTGTCACATGACAAAAATAAATCTTACAGATGCCCTGTTTAGTTCTCTTAAGTGATGTTTACATGCAGGGTTTCTTATAAAATGCATTGAGTGCAATGTGTTGAATGCATTCCTTTGTCAAAACCATTTTTCCTTGAAACAAGCATTGTTTACAGCCATGTTGACTTGTAGATCAGTGGTATAGTATGAAACCAGTGACATGAATGTGTAGCACATCACTTGTGACCTTGCATGTGTGTCCCCCAGTTTTTAACTTCCGGTCAGATTTCACTTCTCTTGGTCCAGTCACGTCTTGGTGAGGGCTGAGATGTACCAGCATTGCTGCTATTGACTGCTGTGAACTGGGAAAACTCACATTCCTGAAAGAGTGTTGCATTACTGTGTCAACCAGCAGTTGTGAGCTGAAGTCACAATTCTTGCTTGCATATTTAACAGGTTTATTGAACAAGCGATTTAGATGTTTATTTGCTTTAAAACAGAATGCATCACCTCTCCGGACATGGAGGTCTGCAGACACACCAACAGCTTCTCCTCTTCTGCGGTTGATTCGGCTCCTTTTTATTCTACCCTTACACAACTCAAGTTATCAGCACTTTTGAATGCAACTTTTCTTTTTACTCTGTTACAGATGTAACTTGAAATGTAGTACAATACTTTGAATAAAAAATACGTATATGTTCTACATAAGGGATTTTGAACATTATTATAGCAGCAAACAACTATTTGCTATGTAAAGACATAATGAAGTAATGGCTTCCTCCCTCACACCTCCCTTTGAACCTGTTGGCCCTCCCTGCATTTAAACTGTAACTCTGCGTTCACACTAGGAGCTACAGCACCAGGCTACATGTCATTGTCAATGGAATCCGTTGGCATGAGGCTACAAACTGACACCTGACACTTGTCGCTGTGGGGCATACGTGACATGCTACAAATTAAAGCTGAGATGGTCTCAACTTTTTCAGCGGTCCAATGACTCAAGGTAGCACCAACCAATTATATGTTTTTGTTTCACCCTGTTCTTTTCCATCTAAAAAAAATAATTACGTCAGAGTGCTATAGCAACACTTCAACAGTGACTCTGGAAGAATGTACCTGGCCTTTTTGTTGCTTTTGTCGCTTGTAGCATTAAGAGCGACCTCCCACACAGCATTGTAAAAACAAGATGGCGAGAGCGTAGTTTGAAGGGTTCAGCTGAAGGCCACCTGCCAGATTTTCCTCTATGGAAGAATATATGTTCTTCCATTGAATAATACCCTGTAATCAGAGCCACCTGCTACCAAACATTCAATTCAAACCATCAAAGAGCTTAAGCTTCCTGAAGCATAGCTGATTTTACTCGATGTCTTAGGCAGCTGGCGTTATTAGCAAGTTATTAATTAGGTGATATGTTTTTAGTTCCCTCCGCTGATCACAGAAAGAGCACCTTACCAGGCTGAATAGGTTACTAATATTACTAAATTAAATCCATACTGAAAACAACTCCCACCAAACAAATAATAGCCGTGATGTTCATCATCTTGCTGGCCTGTAGTGTACTTATCTCGCCTTTCTTCAGAGTAAATGTGATTCATTACTTCCACTTCTGGCCAGTGCTTATCAAAATAGCTTGCTTGCAGTCATTTGTGCCAAAAGCTTACTTGCTTCACATTCCTAAAAGTAGTTGGCACCAGCAGTTTAGAGGAGACACAGTTATCACTATGCAAATACAAAGAAATAAATTGCACAACTGCAACAGAAATATCAGAGCAATGTAAACACAGTAAAGTAATTGCTAATCAATCTCACAATTTCTGAGGAATTTATGAATGCTCTCTTTCTTTGGTTCTCTTTCTCTCTTAATATGACTCCCTCTCTCACACACACACACACACACACACACACACACACTCAGCAGTCAGGAGAAGAAGTACTACTGCAGACCCTAAAGCCATGTTATAAGTCAAGACAGGGTAGAGGGTGTATGTAGCTCTAATCCTCCAATTAATTATCATTCCCCACAAGTGGAGGACCCCTGAGTGCTTCTTGACACTTCTATTAAAAAGTAAAAATGAAACATAATATGAAGGTGACGCAAGAGAGAGATCTCCTTCTTCTGCCCATCTCCTCGGAGAGCAAAGTTCTACAACGTTTTTGGCAAGTTTTCTTTCTTCTTTTCTTTCCTCCTCTTGTTGTGTGGGAAGAGTTGCAGGGTGAGCTGGTAGTTATGGCACAACAGTACCAGAAAGAGTGCAATTATGTTCTGTGTGTTATTGTCGTTGGTTAATGCAACATTACTACACACACACTAATGTTACTGATACACTTATGGAGGAAATATCGAAATAAGTTGTTGCGATAAGCACCAAGTCAACACCTCTAGAGCTCAGCAGTAATCAGACAGAAGCCGGAAATCAGATAAAAAAATACATGCAACCCCATTTGTAACTGGTTATGAAATAGTCGTAATGTAATACTGAAGCCTCTATATGACAAACATAAAGTTAATGAGACCATCAGCCAGAAGATTTACTCTTTAAATATAGTTATTTTTAGTGTCACCAATGCCATCCGATCCGATTTTGGACAAATCGGACGAAATCACGCAATTTCACCAGAAATGCCTTCAGCTCAGACTCCAGGGGGGCCTCCGGCAGCAGCCAACCCGATGCGGTCAGACCCAGATCCGGCTTTACTGCCACCTTCAATCTGGCTGCTCCACCCGTCATCGACCTGGTAGCCAACATCAACGCCAATCTGCTGGGGAATTGCTGGGCCCGCTGGAGGGAAGGGAGGCCCGGGAGTTGCCTGCTGGCTGACTGAGTGGCAGTGAAGGCAGTGGTGTGGCTGCTGTGCTGGTCAGCTGGAAGGCATCATGTGAGATGATTGTGCCTTGTGCTCTACTAGAGGGTCAAGAGAGCTTGTGACGCTGCCTTGCAGACACAGTGGCGACACTTATTTTGTTTGTCTCTGAGGCTTTTCAACTTCCTGTGCAATCGTCCTCTAATCAAAGTAATAGAGGAAGACCCCCAACTTTGAAAGACTGGACTATTTATTTTGTATATTGTATTTTTTCTTCTTTTTTTAGAAACATCACACATTTTTGCGACAGTGCATATTAACAGATTCCTTACAATATCACAGTTACAATAACAAACAATGAATAACAGTGAATGAACAAAAATTAAAAGATAATGTATTACTTTAGCATTATAGTTTTGAGATTTGGACTTTTGGTCAGACTAAACCATATCATCAGAAGGTGCAGCCCTAGATAAAGAAGTTAAAACTACTCAACTAATATCGTTAAATGTGTCCTAAATATCAATGCATAAGTAATAATAATCTTTTGGTTTAATAAATAACAGCATAACACTCCCAGGGACCATTTCTCTGTACTTTTACTTGCGATACCGTAGATACTTTTTCCTAATAATACTTTTGATCGTGTTTTTACAAGATGTCGTCCCTCTTTCTGTTAGTGTGTGAACACTGCACACTAACGCTGCTGTGTGTGTGTGTGTGTGTTTCATATCATTAATCATTGCTGTCACCTCCCTAGCAGGCAGTAAGAAGCTGCTGGAACAGTGAGCCAGTAGCTTGTTGTTCACATGCAGGTCACACTCAGTCGCCAAGCTGCTATTCTCAATAACTCAAACTACTGGGAGTATATTGGATTATACAATACTGCAATAAGGGACTGTTTGTGTAACACTGTCCTCTTTAGCACTTAAACATATTGCTCATTTCCCCCAGGTTCTACTGACAACACTTCACTTCCTCTTTTCTTCCGTTTGCAAAACATGTTTAATCGGATAATCTTCTTTGCAAAAAATGTCAGACTTCTGAATTTACTCTGGCCTCGACATGACATTCCAGAGGAAAATGGAGAGAAAGGCCTCCTATCTGAAAGCATTACATTCTGCTGAGGCCCCTATTCATTTCTGACAGCTTGATTTTTTTCTTTCAGTAGAAATAATGGCAGAAATTTAAGCCTGGGTTACAATTCATCACAGAGCCTCGTACAGGGTGAAATGTAGCAGTGCCAGAGAAGGACAAATTAGGCGCTGAAGCAGGGGGTCGTCTGACAGGAGATGTGCCAGAGCTCTAAAACACAACACCAGCTACGACCAAAATCAATGTAAAATGATGGTGTTTACAGCCATTGGTGGTGAAATGATGAGCTAACGTTTGTTTGGTATTGGTATTGTTTTCACGTCCAGGCTAAATCCGCTCTCTAATCTTAGAACAAAGAACAGATCCAATACTCAGAACATTTATGATTAAAGTAAATTCATTAAAGCTGCAGATTACATTTTCTACAGATTTTTTTGCAAGTTCAATTGGTATTAGTTTTGGTTTGAACTGCAGCCAGGAAATAGGAATAATTTGCTGATTAGTACCAAACACAAAGTACAGCTGAGGCTGATGTCAGTAGTTTTGCTGGTTTAAGTTCATGAACCTAAGTATTAAATTTAGAACTACAAACATTAAATGTTTTCATGAGGTGGAGGCCGAAATATCAGAGACAGATATCTGAAATATTGGACAAATGAAACAAACTATCTGCTCCATGTAAATGTAAATGTCTGAACTGAGCCTTTACAACTGAAAACATTGTGAGAAGGTAATGTGTTGAAAATAAATTCAGCAATATGTCAATGACTCATCAGTATTGCAACCTCTTCTTCTCTTTTCTCCTCCAGCACTTATACCAGGTAATGTCTAAAGAAAAGTATTCTCAAGAAACAAGTTAAAGGGATGCGAACAACAGAAACATGTAGTCCATTGTTCCAAAGGTTTGATTTAATCGAACAGCTTAGATTTGCAAAAGCCAACTCAAAGAAAAAACAACCAACCATTAAAACCATTTTTTTGATGCAGCTTTCTTTTCCATGTAAAATTTGCTTCATAGGCCAAAACCTGAATAGACAAGATACATGACATTACATCATAATCAGCTGTATTATTATATCATTCAAAAAGTGTTTAACAAAAGACATGATTGATTATAAACACTTCTAAAAGATAAAAAAAACTTTTGATTAAAACATGGAAAAAATCAGAACAATTATAGTCACAAGCAGTAATTTGCAGGTTCAACGCCAAGTGGAAAATGGCTGAACGAGTGTGCACACTCGATTCATTGTTGCGGATAAGCACACTTGGATAGTTACATTACTTTACTTTCTTAACTGGAAACTTGAAGGAGAAAACGATCAGCTCAAGCTAACCATTTACAGTTCTCCATGTGGTTTCTCTGTGGCTGCAATGTATTGTTACATTTTTGAAGAGGCGCACATTAGCTACCGAATAGCTACGTCAGAACAATAAATCCACCTTTACTTTCAAAAGATTCATGGTGAGCACATTCAGTGCCAATACAAGGTGTGGAGGGGACCCTTTTGTGGTAGTGCATGGGTGTAAATAACATCTCTTACTGGAATGCAAGCTCCGTAATTTTACACCAATTGTTATTTTAAGTTATTTTATTGTTAATACAATCTTTCCTTTTCATAACCAAGTTTTTAAGTCACATAAACTCAACCATACCTTACTTTTACGTTCTGACTTTCACCCAGGAGACCGCTGTTTGTGCCCCGCGAGCCCGCGAACGTTGACTTATTTGTTATAGAACTTACGTGCTTAAGTTACACCACTTCTGTAGTTATTTCAACTCAAACACAATATTTTGTATATACATACCATTAAAAACGGACTATTGTATGTACAAGTTGTCCATTCAAACTGATGAAAAAAAAAATTCTGCTCCATTCGTTTGCACATCATGCAACGTCATCCGATTAGAGCAGCAATGAATTCGTTCACTGTACAAATTTGAAATTTTTGTTTCGGGGTCATTTGGTGGGTGTTTATATTATCTGAATTTCTGCATTTCTTATGGCTTTGTATACATTTTTCATGTTAGTTTAGGGCAACATGCACAGTACATTCATTGATAAGCATTTTTCCACCAGACTTTTGCACTATAGGGTCCAAGACAAAATTCAGGAACATTCTAAAGTTGGTGACTGTATCTTTATAGTTATATCCAACTCACTTTTCTACTGTGAAATGTGAAAAGCTATTAAGTATTGTTATTTTTTTGTATGAATGGTACATTTATTTTGTATGTCTTTCTGTAGTTTTCACAGAGGGAAATAAACTGTATGCATCAGTTTGAGACTCGCTGCGTCTTGTATGAGGATATGTTGTATTTAGAGCTTCACTAATCAACCTCTGACCTCTAGAGAGCAGAAAGTCACCAAAAACTATTTGTAAATGAACTACTGCAATAAAAAAAGCTAAAAGATCAAGGCTTGTACATCAGCGTGATCCTGAACAGTTCAGGGAAAGAAACATTTTATTATAATTCCCCAAGTTTTCAAAAGGCAAAAAGATTTGTATATAACAAGCAAGAGTGGCATGTTTTTCTGTAGGGAACCATCTTTTCCAGTAGCTCAGCTTTCCTCTGTAGTCTACATTTATCATTTATATCCTGATGTCAAATGAAGAGGTGACATGAGCTTTAAGAACGGTGAAATTAGCAACATTATGAAAGTGGCCTAGGCTTAGGTATTGGAATGTACCTGTATGTTTTTAACCAGTGGTTTGTTGAACACATGGCAGTCCTGAAAAACAAAGGCCTTCCCATCCTAGAGCTCGTTTTGTGTACTTTTTGTAGACATATTGGTTCTGCTCTGTTGACTCACAGAAATATCCTTCTTTAACCCCGGGAAATGTTTCACCAGCAACTGTCTGAAATAGTTCTGGAACTTTTTCCCAACAAATGTGTAGAAGATGGGACTGATGCAAAAGTAAGTGTAGGCCATGACGCGAGTGACTTCAAGAGCATAACCCGTTTTCTGCTTTCCCCCACAGGTAGTGGCTTCATCGTGCATCAGCATTACAATGTTGAATGGGGTCCAGCACATAAAAAATAGCAAGACAATGACAAATATTAACCTGACTGTCTTAAACTTGGTAATTATCTTGGATGACATGACAGTGATAGCAATCCTAACATAGCAGTAGATGATAACAACAAGAGGAAAGATCAAGAAAAGGATAAGCTGAAGGTAAAATCCAAAGTTTCTCAGCAGCTCAACATTAATAAAAGCTATTTCACCAGGAAACTCTTGACAGTACATTGTGTCCTCTATATATTTAAAAGTGGTGTGCAGAATCATCGGCCTGATGCATGCCAGGCCGCTGACCAGCCACACCACAGCGCAGGAGACTGTCGCATAACTTCGACTCCTCAATCGCGACGCGCCCAAGGAGTACACAACTGCAAGGTGTCGGTCGAAGGTCAAAAGGGTTAGAAAGAGGACAGAGCTGTAAAAGCCCAGATAGTAGACGGTGCCAACAATCTTGCACATGACCTTGCCGAAGATCCAGTAGGAGAGCTGCAAGTAGACTCCCATGAAGGGCAGACTGCTCATGAAGATCAAGGAGGACACCACCAGGTTCAGCAGCAAGATGTTGGTCACAGTGGTCAGCTTTTCAAACCTAGGAGGTGGTTAGATAGAAAGAAAGACTAAATGCCTAATGGTTACACAAACAGTTTAAGATACAACCACATTGATACAAAACTCTGAATCTGAAGACATTTTGAGCGGAATTGGTCAAAACACATCGATAAACAGATGCAGTCAGAAGTAGCCCACTTGAGCTTTATTTTACGCATCATCTCTACGTATGAGCTGAGAGAGAGAGAGAGAGAGAGATCAAGATCGAATCACAGCTGAATCGGATCGGATCAAAGTAGTAGTAGTATTAATACTGCAAATTTAAAAATCTGAGATGGAATCAAAAAAACTGAAACACAAAGAAAACATCCCCACTTTTAGTGAATCATAACTGTAATTATCAGAGGTTAATGCATCAAGAATAATATCCATTGAACATAATTTCAGTCATGCCTTTGGTTAAAAAGGCAGAACCTTTGTTGATTTTTGTAAAATGGCTTTTTAAATGTGGAACAGAAAATGAGGCCATTTTCACTCATTATTTTTGATGAACGGTAACTTAGAAATCCCCCTGTCAGCATGCAGCTGACATAGCATCTCTTCAACCCTCCATAATATACTGCAGTAAATACTCTTTCAGTCTGAAGACCAGGGAGACATCGCTGAGCTCATCTCTGACATTGTCATTTGTGTTTCCATGACCACCGGATTTATTTGTGTGTTCACAGAGGTAGAGAGCTGTGCTGGAGACCAAGTTGGAAAGAGAAGAGTTGGCAGACAGTGTCAGAGTGGAAGTAAATAGGGTGCTTACAGAGAGAAACTTTACTTATCGCAAAGATATGTATTCCTCTCTTTCTAGATGAATTCTATATGAATTCTATATGAAAACTGTATGAATTCATCTTATACTCTCCCAGTGTCTTTTTTTCCTGACAACCTGATGACATCTCCAGGCGTATCCTCCAGTGCCCCAAATGGTCTAGAACTAAAGCCTGGTCTAGAACGGCTCCGTCCATTCTGGCTCCCCAAATATCCAAATCAAATATTTAGAATATTTCTAAAGATTTTGCTGGCTGGAGGAGATGACAATACGGATAAAATCGTCTGTATTTGAATGTCATTTTTCACATTGATATTCTCTCTACCCCATGTTTGACAGTGCATCCAAAATAGAGCCTAATTGGTATTCAAAATACAGAAACATAAAAAGGGATGTGGAAAACACATTATTCTCATCAATAAAAAAAACATAAATTACAATTTTAAATTCAAATTATAATCCTTCACCAGATTTGTATGACATCAAACCTCCAATCAGGTTATTTATTTTTTATAGTTTTCTTGCTGGATTTACATTGCCTTCACAAGCATGATAAACGATGCAGCATCAAAAATCCAATGTTACTGTCTGTAGTTTGAGCTCTTTGATACAAGCCTCACTGTTCACTGTCCCACAATTGTTTCAGAGCTGGATTAAGCAACTGCTAATATGACCTAAATATGTCCTGCTGCTGCCTCACATAAACGTATTAAACGTATTCAATTGGTCAAACATTGGGTGGCTTTTATTGTGAAGCAGCCACAGGAAACACGATGCATTCATTGCTGACCGCAATCAAAAATGTGTCTACAAAACATTTGGCATTGTTCATCAGTTGGACATTTCTTTTTTTGCAAGTAAGTAATGTAACAAGAAGGCACAAACCACAGTAAGCTAGTGCTTGTCAAAAATAAATGAACAATCATTTTCTACTCATTCTTTTTCAAGTTCAATTTGTACCAGCTCTGCACTGGTCTCAAGGAAATGGCCATATTACACTCCAAAGTTTGAGTCTCTAGATGTGTTCACAGACTCAGACAGTAGACTCAGTGCTCGTTGGCCTGTGAATATTAGCATGCAGAGTTTGGCCAAACTCGCTGCTAGAGTTACACACTTTTAGTACCTAGCGTTTCAGATTCACCGCCAAATTGACAACAAGGTAACCAGCTTCTATTAGATCATAGTTGCTTATGCCATGATGGAAATAGTGTTATTATTGACTAACTTCGTAATCTTTTTTTGATATCAATCATTCAATAGGTTACTTTGTGCGGCTGCTCTATAAACATGTAACTCCTCTTTTGTATTTCTGACAACGTAGTTGCTAAATGACTGTTTGCTGCAGCATTAAACTGCACTTGTGATCACATCCGTTGCTAAATCAAGCAGGACAGTAAATGTATGTATTGTAGAAGGTAAATCACTAAATGTTTTTGATCAATTAAACTGTGTCACGCATACACTTGCTACCTCTAACCGCTTTAAACGGCAAAACCAAACTACCATTTACTTGCGACGGATTCTGTTACAAATTTCTTCTGAAGTACGTTCTCAGTGTTTGAATTGACTTGGTCCACTCACCGATGGATGATGACCAGGACCAGCCCATTGCCAAAGACACTGAAGAGGAACATAAAGTAGAAGAGGATAGATAGCTGAGCTCCCAGATAGTTGACCCGGTCCAAACTACACGGTGGGACTGGTGTCTGTCCATCGCTCTCATTACTGTAGTCATAATCATATGTTGAAAGTTCCATCTTTATCTCAAATGTTGGCGAGAAAATCTGTCGGAAACAAAAATGCAGTCTTAAACATTCACAGCAGGATGCAGTCAGTATGAATTTGGAAAGATAAAATGGTTAATCCTTTTAGGATATGTGTATAAGAGCTAATAAATGATGCATGCAAATGAGCAGAGATGGAAAATAATGCTGTTATTACATGCAAGAAACACAGGAAGTAAAAGCAGACATTAAAGGGAATGAGGACCAAGTTGAGCTGACTTACCGTCTGGCCAGAAGAGAAGCTTCTGCTTGTTCTTTGACTCTAAGGGCCAGAGCTGTCTGACTCACAGTGAGTTCAAGTCACTCAATGATAAGTCAGCCAGATGGGGGAAGGAAGTATTACGGATGTGTGCGTGTGAGTGTGTATAAGGGGGAGGGATTGGCTGAATGTACTCCCTTCTGTATCAACACTCCCTCCAAATCACTCTCTGTCTCCTCCCTGGAGTGTTCAGTTGAGACTCTAAAGCTGAATTCATGCAGACAGGACAGCTGCATCTGTGTACATCACATGTTGTCAAACAGTCAAATCACATGGACAACTGTACTGACCCTTGTGATGTTGGAATAGTGCTGATAGTTGGGAGTCAAGGCCATAATGTAGCAAAGTACTGCAGAAGACCACAGACAAACTTATCAAGTGTGTTTGAAAAAGACAAGACTAGTTGCTCCCTGATAAGGTTGTGACCTTGGGAACCCAGCAGTGTCCCTTAGAAAGCTGTCAAAAACTCAAGCTCACATTTTAGCCGGTTGAAAAGAGGTTTTAGTTTAGAGTCTAGAGAAGAGTTGTTTTTTAATGCATAACGTGAGCTATCCATTCAGTTAGCTAGCCCAAACCTTCTGAAACTAACCAGCATTAAACTCATATCAAAAACAATTTTGAAAAAAAAAAACTTTGACCGCAACATATTTCCAACCGGTGAAATCATGGCCATCAGCCTGCTCTACTTCTCCGTGGTCCGCTCTGAACAACCCCCAACAATGAAAGGACAACAATAAGAAGAATGGCACCTTTACGTTTTCTTCACCGACGATAAGTTGTTTTTCGTGGGCAGCTTTGGAATGCCGGACATCGTCTGAACTTGGTAGTCCTCTGCTGAGGCCTTGTGAAGCTAGGTTTGAGCTGGGATCTGGCGCAGCTGAGTTCGAGCTGGGTTCTGGTGCGACTGGGTTTGACCTGGGTACTGGCGAGGCTGGATGGGGCGATCTATAACATAGTTTGGCAAGAAGTCATATTCCTGAAAATACATCCCTGTTGTAAGGATGAACCCCACCTACCCTGAAGCCAGCCTGGATATTCAGATGGGTTGCAGCCAGATGATAGACGATTGCAACAATCCTAGGAATGTCATAAATGATGGTTTTCCCAGGGTTGGTTTCAGCATTACATGCTGTATTGATGCCCCTCTTAAGTGGCCAATAGACATTCCTGTCTAAGGGTTAAAGCCGATGGAAGCAGTGGGGTAGAAGGGAAAGCATAACTATGATGTTTTCTTTGGCATAATTGAGACCATTGAGGGAGGATCGGCAGTTCGATCCCCAGCTCCACTAGTCCATGTCAATGTGTCCTTGGACAAGACACTTAACCCACCTTGCATGGTAGCCTCTGTCATCACTATATGAATATGTGGGAATATGTACATGTAGTGTTACAGCACTTTGAGTGGTCGGAAGACTAGAAAAGTGCTACAATTGCAGTCCTTTTTACAAAAATGTATTTATCATTTTAACTTTTCTTTAATAAAAAGGCTTATTATGCACCCTCCTGTGTATTTCGGTCGTTTTGTGGCTACATCATTTGTACTAGTTTAATTGTTTACATGTTGCATAGCAAACACCAACTTTAAAAGCTAGCAAAGTCAGCTTCTGCAGGGCTGCAGCTGGATAGTCACATGTGACAATTTGACCCGAAAGCACTGAAACAACTTGTCCACAGAATGACATATGGGCTATTGCTAGCTATACCACAAGCTAGCTTTAGTGCAGAACTTTAGTTTGGGTATCAAAATACACATTTTCTCTCCTCTATTTTGTGCAAAAATAATATAATTGAATAATAATACCCACAAGTTTGATTAAGTAAATAGTGCAGTTTAGCTTAGTTTAGTTTTCTGGTTTAAAAATATGAAAATTGTTCTGACCTCAAATTAGAGGGACAAATGCCACTTGTCAAGAGCGAAATGACTTCAGAATAGTGAGTTGCACATGCAACAGTTAGATTTTCTAGATAGAGCCTTATGGTGTTGGAGATATAACCAGTGTGACAACTTACCCGTGTGACAAGATGCGCCGCTCTCCCCGACACAGCAGTGACAATTAGACACTTATTTTCAACTGGCTGTTTAGCGCTGATTCATCAGCCACATGGCCTTATTCATTTTGTATATACAGTAACAGACATGCACCTACCCTCCTGGACCTCTGTGAGAAAAGTCTGGATAAATTGTGTTTTTTAAAATGTATTGCCCATTACATCACTAAGTATTGTATATATAGATTTGTCAAAGTACTATTGTGTATCCTGTTGCTTTATCAAGAGCACCTAAGGGCATTTCTGGTAACAATTTCTAAAGGAAATCATAAATGTCATGATTAGGCTTTGCCTCGTGTGTGTCCTGAGTGTGTCTACTGATTGTTCTCATTCACTTCACCTGTGTTCAATCACCTGCCCCTGGCTTTTCCCTCTGACAACCCCACACATATACACTTCCCTGCTTTCCCTGTTCTGGTTGTCAGATTGTATTTGTCCTTCCCCAAGTGTGCTTCATGTTCTGGTATTTTGTCCTCGTGTTTGTTTCCATGATTTGTGACTTTGCCTTTCTACAGTTTTTGGATCTTTGGTCTGCTCCCTGTTGGAGTCATTTTGAGTTCTTATTTATTACTTTTTTTGGTGACTAGTAAAAGAACCTTGCCTTCCACCTCGTCTCCAGTGCCTGTCTCTGCGCTTGAGTCTCTGCTCTGTTCCAGAAGCGTGACAATAAATGCATTTTGACCCTCCATCTCTCAGTAGATAATACAACAGCGCATATACAGTGCAGAACCTCAGGCATCATCAACCTGCAGTTAATGGGGGGGGACCTTGAAAAATGTTGAATGTCATTTCTGCAAAAGTAGATTTCTTATTTTCAGGTGAACTATGTATATAGTACCTGCTTGTGCCTCGGCAGTGAAGCTCCAAAATGATCAGTGAAAAATGTGGACTGTTTAACATATAGAGCCAATGATTTTTTTTGTCAAAAACAGAATATTGATTTGTCCCTCCAGAGGGTACAATCATGTTTAGAAGCAAAGAAGAGGAAGACCTGAATGCCTCCCAGGAGAGTATTATTAACCTTCTGTTCAACAGCCAGGTTCCTTCAGAACAAACTGATATCTCTAAACCAGTGGTCGCATGTGTTTGAGTATGTGTAGCATCATTAAACCCTGTTTAGATCTCTGTAAGGCAGGGGTCTCAAACTCAAGGCCCGCGGGCCGAATCCAGCCCGCCACGTCATTTTATGTGGCCCGCGAATCCGCCAGCAAAAAAAAAAAAATTATAAATTTAAAGTTAGACTTGATAATAAAAATATCCCCGTAGTCGAAATTATGATAGAAAGTCAGAATTATGAGACAGAAAGTTATAATGATGAGATACTTAAACACAGTCATAGAAGCAGCTCTTTGGCTGGTTCCTGTACACTTGACATGGAAATGTATTGTGAGTACATTGAAGACTACTTTAAAACACATGAAATACTTCATGTGGGATTATGCAAACGCACACTTGAAAGGATTTTAAGCTTTGAACAAAGTTATTGTAATAACTTGTTTGATATTTGTCTTTGCTATTTTCTTTAATAGTTTGATCTTTGATAGAGTAATGTGGGTTTCTTAACCCTAAATTAAAAGGATTTAAGTTATAAAAACAGAAATGTGCTTAAATATATTTGTACATTTATATAACTGCATGTACAATACTTTCACACTTGAATAAACAATAATCAAATGCAGAGACAGTTATTTAACAATATGTTAGGAGTAGTTACATTTACACAGTCTTACGGTTACAACCGGCCATTTGAGGGAAACCATGATGCTGATGTAGCCCAGGGTGAAGATGAGTTTGAGACCCCTGCTGTAAGGAGATTTGGATAATCAATCCTTTTCTATTATTCACCCTACATCAGGATGAAGAGAGAGCAGCAGAGAAAGAGAGAGGTACAGGAATAGGTTGGTGTTATTCAATATCAGGGGTCCGAGTCCAGACCCAGACCCCGTTGTATCTGGATCTAGACCTAAAACCAATAGAAAAATGAGAATTATTTAATTTTGACCCAGGACTCATTCAGTGGTCCAGGAAACACACTGATCAATTACATGCCTTGTAAATTACATCACGTGATGCTGATCAACCAATCACGTATGTGTATTCCGATAAGCTTCCCGACTCAAGTGAGATTTACACACACTGGGGAGACTGGGTGGAGACCGAGTAGTCGGAGAATAGTACGAGATTCAGAAGTTATTTCACATGACGTTCTCCAAGAAGAGAAAAGTGGTCAGAGAGACCAGAGTCTTTAACCAAGAATGGACAGACTCTTTCAGGTTAATTCTTCCCACAGGGAGTTTAAAACCAGTATGTCTCATGTGTTCAGAGACCGTGACGATAATTAAAAGCGGTAATGTGAAGCGCCACTACAAGACAAAGCACAACTCTTTTTAGCAAACGTACCATCTCACATCTGAAATGAAGTCACAGATTATAAACAATCTAAGAGCCCAATATGATCAGAATCCTAACACGTTAATTCGCTGTCCAACAATGATCTTAACAGAGAGAATAGAGCTGAAACAAGTTTCAATAACCACACATAAAGTCCCTGAACACAACTTTCTCTTATTAGAAGATAAGAAAAATATAATATTGTGGCTTTCTTTGGTTGACATCACTTCACACCTGAATGAACTGAATTTAAAGCTGCAGGACAATTCAGTGAAATACATTTTTCTAAAATGAAGTACTTTATTTTAAGATGCACATTTTTCAACAGCTTTCTGTTATGTGTTTTATTCTGTATCCCTTATTTCTATTTGAAGCGAGAGAAGAATATTTATTATTAGATTATGTATTATTTATAATTCATCCATTTCAATTTGAAAACTGAAAACAAACAAATGTTGAGACATTATTGAATTGAATGTTCTGTATTTGACAGTCAGTTGTTGCCTACATACAGACGTTAATACAACTGTTGGCTAATTGAATACATATGGGACTAAATAGCTTAAGTTGGACATTATTGTGATGTTCCGGACCTTTGCGTGACGAAATTCTCTCTAAATGGACCTCGTTGTACTTTAATTGAATACCCCTGTTCTATATATTTCATATTGCACATACCATTAAAAAAGAGCAAAACCAAAATGTTTGTCCTGTGGCTCTCCACTCCAAGGTATATTGTATGTTATATGTTTTTTTTGTAAAGACTCAGTAATTTTCTTTAACAGTTTGTCATGCCCTTCAGATATTTCCAACCTTGCCACATACTTGGCCCCTTGAGGCCTCATCTTATTGGGGTTGAAGATGTTTGACAATCGACCAGAAAACGATCTGTCCTGGAAAGCTGGCTTTTGCAATACCATCGAGGGCTTGAACTTGAAACCCAAGTGAGGAGCTAGACTTGCTCACCAAGTGGGTGGCTCTGCGGGATGTCAAAAGAGTCGGCTGTCAATTCTTAGCCGGTCCTGACATGGCTCGGCAACTGTTAGAAAAGGACTTCCAGTGGCTGCAGGAACTTGCAGATCTGCTCCGTAAAGTAGAAGTGGCTAAGTGCGAGGATAACTTACCAGGCCTCAGCCTTCCTCGAAACATCTAGAAGGGTAACCCTCATTGTGGAGATATTCTCCTCCCCAGACCTTAAAAACTAGTCTGATGAGGACCCAGACAATGTCCCATCCACAAAAGGCCACAACTCCTCAGAAAGTGTAGGAGCTTTAGGGAAAAGCTGCTCGACGAAGTTTTTATAAAAGAGAATTTTAGATGCTGCACCTTGACAACACACCAAGCTAAAGACAGTGAATTGCACATCCACTGTTCTGACTGTGAAAGCAATTGTCACATACTTAACTGCTTGTTAGCTCAATCTACAGTAACGTATCATAAAGCGCTCTTTTTATTTTGAGTTTATACCACCACAATTTTGTCAAATTCAGTCACATTTCTCAGCCTCATTTCAGTCACTTGCAAAACATCAGCTGATGTCCTTAGAGTTAGATTTACAATGGCCTGTAAGTACAAACTTGACAAAGCTGCCTCACAGGATGGGAATCCCAAAACACAATTTGTGAAAATACACAAATTGGTTATAACACATACTGTACTTGCTGCAAGTGCAGTTAAACGTTCTAATTTTAAACAATGTAAATATGAACTGAATATCTACAGCTCATTTACACTAAATGATGTTCAAAAGTTAAAATTGTAGCCAAATCATTTGTGACCCAGTGATACTCAATGCACAAGACCCAGAATAAACTGGAACCAGAGACTACTATACCGAAAATATAGATTTTATTGACAATGCATGGAATAAAAGACTTGTTTCCACTCAAAAAGTTTGTTTCAATAAAAGGCCTAAGTGCAGATCATAATAAAGGAGGGATGGAATAAATTATACAATTAATACATAAATAAAAACACATGAACAAGCAAAGAGAGTGAACAATGTTGGACTAAACTACACCATCAGGGAGGTCAGTGTAGTTATGCGTAAAAAGAGGACATTTTTACAAAATACGAAGGCTATTTATGAATAAACTACCACTGCACATGAACCTAATCAAATTGACCTACTAACAGCACGCTAAGGCGACTCAAACCACATCATAAAATACACACGCAAGATGCCTACTCTACCACATGGTCCCCCCTTCAGCACAGCATAAAGCCCCACAAGAAAATAAAACGGTATGTAAAAGCAATGCCTATTGCAAAGTGGATTGATGTGTGTCTGTGCTCAGCTTATATATATATATCCTGTTTATACAGCAGTGAAGTACATGAATTTCAGTTTCTTATCGAGAAAGTGTAAACACCCTCATTGGCTGGCCATGGTTACAAGGATGAAAAACCACATGGGGAATATATTGTTATAGAAAAGATATCGCAGATTTGTAATTATTTTTTTCACTGAAAGTGTACTTTGTGCAAATACAATTAAATGGGGAAAATGAAACGATTGCAAATAAGATTATTGAATGAATTGCAAACAAGGGTGTTTAACAGCTATAGTTTAGCTCCTGTACTACAACGGGGTAAATGACACATTGTTCCCTTTTTAGTTCTGGTCCAGTTTGTGACTTGAAATACATTCGTGTCATTAGTGTACGCGATGAAGTGCACAGAGTAGGGTACGCGATGAAGTGCATACGATGAAGTGCACAGAGTAGGGTACGCGATGAAGTGCACAGAGTAGGGTACGCGATGAAGTGCACAGAGTAGGGTACGCTATGAAGTGCACAGAGTAGGGTACGCGATGAAGTGCACAGAGTAGGATAGATGAAGAAGTGTGCAGTGAAGGTTACAAACACAACATACCGCAGTTGTATCAGCTTTTGGCTGTCAGCAGACATCTCTGCACTTACATGCTGACAAGCATACATGTTACCACGGTTACCCAATAATACACATATAATATGCATCATTTTAAACATTGCTTATTTATCGACAATCAGCAGATGGATATAATCTTAGTTTAGCTTTTGAATTCATGCTAAAATCCCATTATCTACTACTATGAGTTGGTCTGTTTGCTTTTTGAAAGCACAAATATACTGCTCCAGTGTCTGCTGGGATGGGTTCGTCCCAATTGCTTGGTCTGGCCCAGGGTTGGATTGACAACAAAGCACACTAAAGGGGCAAATGCAGCACAGTTACTTTTAAGGTGAGAAAGCACAGATCTTACCTGTTGTGTTTGACAGGACAGAATATTTAAGGTGTATAATACGCTGACAGGATCAATGAAGACATAGCAAAGCCAAGTGTTTGTCAAACTTCATTTTGATATCCGATTTGTGTAAAATACCCCTTTGAATAAACCTGCACTGATATTCATGAAAACAGCAGTCAAGGAATCAGTGAAAAGTCAGTGTTGCATAATAAAGGTTTATTTCAACATAAAATAATTTTACAACCAAAAAATGAACACAATGTATTTGCAAATAGTACATAATATGTATAAAAATAACAGCATTTTCCAGCAGTTATGGATATTAGACATGATGTTAACTTTGAAAAGATTGTGAACAGTTTTTTCAATATATTACAAATACAGATAGACAACATAATGCAAACATGTGTAATTTCATAAAGAGGGTTTTGTTTAACCACTGTAATCTCCAACAATAATATGAATAACCTAGTAAAACTCAGGTCAAAATGCTAAAGATGACAAATCATCTGCAATTGAAAATCAGGTTTCACACAGCGTAGACTGTTCTGCAGTGAAAATGGTTACTGATAGTGTGACACCACTTTGGTGGGGGTCAGTTCTCAGAATTGACAGATAATACACAGGATGCTGTGTCAAGATACCGGTGATACTGTGTTGCAACTTTTAAGACTCAGTCACAGCATTAAATGTGAGACTGTAGGAGGGTGGAAAGCGTGTACTAAGCAGAAAAACTGGAGCTTACTCAGTAGCAGAAGCTGAAGTAGCATGATGGTGATATAGTGCTGCAAATATTTTTAGGGTAGAGGGTAGAGTGGGTGGTTGGGTGTGGAACACATGTGACTGATGCTGTAGTCCCTGTCCTGTCACCGACCAACAGTCATGGGTTACCCAAACTTACACTAGTATTTTCTCATTATTGTGTCCCATGACTTGTTCGGTTTAGTATTTCATTTCAATAAAGTTGGGGAACTTACAACGGATTAAAAGTAGAAAACTGAAGCAGCCGATTTGGAGCCGATCCTATTTGACATCGCAGGGCTGATATCAATTGACAGATAGAGACAGACAACCATTCACGCTCACATTCACACCTACGGGCAATTTAGAGTTCTCAATTAACCTGAGCTGCATGTCTTTGGTCTTTGGACTGAGGGAGTAGCATTACTTGTAGTTTGCCGTATCAGCATGGGTTCTCCCCATGCTGATACGGCAAACTGCAAGTTAGTGTTATTTGGTCGGTGTTTACATTTTACATCTAAAATATAGCTGGGAGATGTCAAATTCATGTTTCTCTGGGGATGAACCCATGATATTCTCCATTACGTTTCATCCAGCTGCCCCCTCAGGCCAAAATAAAACTTTGTACAAAAGATAACTTAAAATGTAATGTACATATTGCAAAGACATTTCTTTAGCACATTCATGGTCCCCAAATGATGAACTTTTATTATTTTACTGCTATTATCTTGGGATTTTACACCATGGGAAAGTTTCTAGGAATAGCAAAATCATCAATGAGTCATCAATCTATTTAGTACTGTTGGATGTGACAAACAATGCAGCCTCTATGTGCTGCTGGCTATAGCTTTAGACTTTTATTTTGTGTAAAACCACTAGATTTAAATACCTTAATGGTTGCAAAAGAAGGTACTGAAAAAGCTGTAAGCTAAATGCATTATTTGGCAACATACAGCAACGTACAGCGAAGTTATCTCGCTAACCCTACATCCCACTGTGTAGTTCAGCCCATAGTTTGAATTACCCAACCAGCTCCAAACATGTCATCATAAAAATGCTGTTATATGAACGCATTGATAGATAATAGCAAAAATAGATCTACCCAGTCACATTGCGGGCCAACTGTATAACTTCTCAAAAGTAAACATGGTGAGACAGTCAAAAAACAACTGAAAAACAAGCAGGGAAAGCAGCTGCTGAACTGAATAAGAGTAATGCATCATAGAAATCAAAATGTTTTGAAGCGTATCAAGGCAACCAATCATACGCCAGCACACTGCACATAGCAGCAACAGAGTACCACAGACGAGTCTCAAAGAGGAGGTGCTACTTGGTGAGAGAAGGGCTGTGTCCACTCAGTCAACTGTCCTTATAGATGCTCTATAGTGAGCAGTAAAGTGAGATTTCGGACACTTAGTAATCATCCTAATTGTTCTTCATCACTTACAGATGTACGAATTGAGCTCAACTTTTTATAAAGAGTTCTAAGCATGGAACCAACGACAACATTAGTGTGACCATAAAACAAAAAAAATTACAACAGAAAAAAGGTAAGATGGACATAATTACCCCAGAAACCATTGGGAATGGCGACTCGCAAGTCCCGGAGCACTTTTAACTAACCATTGTCGATCTAACTATATTTCTAACTGTATTTTTAACTATATTTCTAGAGAAGAGACTGGCTAGTATCACATGACTGATGGAAATGTAATTCTGAATTTATCGAGACAGGTAGAGTGGAAGTGGATAAAGTTCAGTTTGAGCAAAAAGCTTCTTACTGAATTCCCCTTACTTACTTGAATTGAAGAAACTTAATACAATATGAAACAAAATATAAACCTGCATAAGACCAATATCTAAGAATTCACTGTAATCCACACGCACACACACACACAGAAAAGCAATGTAAAATGAGTCTATGTAATATTGGCAAACCAAGAAAGGTTAAAAACAGACAGTGACAGGATTATTACAACCAGTGTGTCACAGTGATGGATTAGCACAACTGCTGGTGCTCCAGCAGACTGCAAACTAGCAATGTTGCAGTTGGAGTGATATCAAGTGAGTTTTTTTTATTTTTATATTTATTCATTTTTTCTCTTTGACTAAACTGCCTGATCTAACTGTTAGCTAACCTTTCACAAGATAATCATGTGGACATTGTGTGTCCTGTTCTTTCATTGTGACATGTCCACATCCATTGTCAAGGAGTAGACTGTACCTCTCACATCATTTGTAGACACAATCATTTCTGCACTGAAGACAGGAATAATCTCACTGGTTGATATGAACCTCATTTGTGAAGCCAGGGGAACTGCACTTTCAAGCAAAGCTCATGTCCACTTCTGTTAATAATATGCAGTTTTTGATGGATATGGGCTCCTAGCGGGCAAAACAATTTTTTTAATGAATTAAAAGAGACTTGGTCTACTTGAGTTTAGCTCTGTCAGAGATCTCATACCACTTTTTTGCCACATGAGCTCACATAGAAAAGCCTACGGTCTTATTAGGCTGTTTACAATGCATTAAGACTTATATTTATTTCATTCATTTAATATTGTTTAATTCGTTTAATTTTCTGTGCATGCATGTTGCATTGAAATATGACGGGCCTGCTGGTTATGTCGGCCTGTAAGCATCTTGTCTTGTTAGCAAAGCCAGTGGCAACATCAGGAAAAAGAGGAGGTAGCTGTTCTTAATGTAAATTTGCTGTCATGCTATTCACACAAAAAAACAACACAACTCAGTTACAACTATTTTGGTTCTCATCTAACTGAAACTCATTATCTAAACCTGTTTTTTGAAACGTTGCTAGTTTAAAAGTGTATAAAGCCCTGTTAGCCTGGGTAAGCTAGGTGGCTAGCCTGCTGACCGTCTTTAAGCATGAATTCCATAATGATGAACTGTTTACTTTCAGTCAACTAACGAGGTTATTTCTGCCTCCAGTGTAGCTGTTCTCCACACACACTTTGTCATGAAGAAATCAACAGTCACACACATCTCTGTAAATCAGGGATACAGTAAATCGCTTCCTCGAAACACTTGGGTGTGTTTCATAGCAGCCCTTCCCACGCTACTATGTTATCAGACGTTGGGGCCTTTGCTGTAATGTTCCCTGAGGTTGTAGGTCTGATAACACATGGAAACATCACAAACCCCTGGAAGCCCTGGGTGGCCCCGTTTACCAGGTTCTCCTAGTGGTCCAGGTTTTCCAGGAATACCCTGGTTTCCTAGATGGCCGATTCCATCGAAGCCCCGAGGACCCTGAATCCCTGTAGAAAATAAGGTAAAACACAGCTGTTCCTGGTATTTCTGCCTCATTTATGGCAAGAAAGTTCTATTAAATTAGCTCATCTTTCAGTCAAACTAAAAATAGCACATGGTGGATGATGAATTACATCTACTCGTGAATTAATAAGCTAGTATAGCTTCCAGAGAAATACAGCGCTGTCTGTTACTTGCCCTCACATCTCCCTCATCTCACCTACCAAGCTGTCACTAAAAGTACTCATTGAAAATTAAGTACCAACAGGGTCCGCCCACACATTTATTAAAAATGTAACACTACAAAGAGCCTTGATGCATTTTTGTTAATTAAAAAATGTTAACAGATATGACAGGCCAGATGCCAGAACAGGTTGCTGAAATAGCTTAATGGGTGAAGACATAGAATATTATTTCAGAAAATATTATAGATGGGCTTTTTACGTACCTGGCTGTCCAGGTGGTCCCGGAGGTCCATGGTAACCTTCTCCTTTGCTGCCTTTGAGCCCTCTTGGTCCCATGTCACCTGGGGACATAATATGTTTACTTTTTAAAAAAAAACAGCATTAGAGGTTCTATAGATGAGCTGTCAGATTGAGAGCTGCAGGAACCTAATTATCTGAAGCACTTATTTGCAGTTTTAGGTAACATTTATGTAAATTATGGACACTGTAGTTTCAGTGCACAATGAACCATTAGACCGAATGGTAACAGGTTTAGTTTAATGTTGTTTCCCAAATGCTTTCAGCATTCAGACAAAATGACAAAGCTAATATGTTGATGTTTAGCAGCAGTGGTCTAACAGACCACGGTTGATCCGTGATCGGTACGGATGCTCCCTCACGGTTCATCACACATGTGAACCACGGATTAATTACACAGTTACAACAATAATCACTGCATGTGTTCAGGCTCTGTTCAGTGAAAATGAGTATTGGGTGAAGGTAAATTATAACGTTATGATGTGTTCACATGTAATCTGTAAAATGTAGTTTTGGTGAGAAACTTGAATAAATCTATTTGTATGAAGGAGATGTTTTCACAACAACATAAATAGATGTTAGAGAAAATTATGAGCTGTTTACACTAGCTCTAATTAGCTTATAATACATCATTAAAACTACTAATGACAAGATTTGTTTTAATCAATGAAAATACAATCTTTTATTTCCTTATCATTTGAATTGAGTGTTTTTACAAAGAAGAAAAAACACTACAAATAAAGTAAAATGATAACATTTAAAATTTTTTAGGGTTTACAGACTTCAGAGTGGTTGAAATGATTTTCAGAACGGTGGCAAAACACTTTTTCTGGAGCTCTGTAGACAGCTGCTATACTATCAATGATTGGCAATTAGTGTCAGCTGCAAAAAAAAGTGATCAGGGATCTCTAAAAGTTATATTTGCTCCCTTTTTTTTCTATTGTTCTGATCCGATCTGTGACTCTGATCCGTGATCCGATCTGAACCAGGAGTGTTATGATCCATTGCACAACTATTTAGCAGGTATAAGGTTTCCCAAGTTCACCATCCTACTTTAGCATGCTAACATTTACTTATTAGCGGTAAATACAAAGGACAGTTGCGACTGATGGAAATGTCATTCGTTTTGCAGATGTTTGGTTATAAACCAAAGTATTGGATAGATTATAAATATGACCAAATGAAGGCACTGGATGAACAGTCTCCAAAGGGCTTACAATTCGTTCCGAGAGGAAGATGAATACCTGTACTCAATGGAATGGCAAGAGACTTTTCACTAAAAACTGAAAGTGTCTACCTTCTGGTGGTGCTGGATGAAATGTCAGGGGATAACTAACGTGATTAGGATTCATCATCTGGGAACCACGCATGTCTGTACATAATGTGTGCCAATCCGTCTACAAGAAGAACACTTTGACCTGCTGGGGGCACTAAAGGACAAGTAAAGGGACTACCAAAGTCAGTAGGAATATATCTTCTGGGCACCATGAATGTCTGTACAAAATGTCATTGCAATCGCTGTTGAGATATTTCAGCCTCACAAAAGTGATGGAATGCCAGACAGGCCAATCAAGATTGCCATCACCCGAGCCGTGGGCATCACTATGAAGCCTTTGTATGCAGTCGCCAGCAGGATACTGTTGGTGTATAGCCACTTCCTCAAGCATAAGAATTCCAAACTGAATCTGTTCTCTGAGTGGTTTATAGAGAACCAACCAGGCTTAAAGGGGTACTGCTGTGATTTATTTTGATACTAAGTTTGGGGACTCGCAAGAGTCCTAATAAACGGATAAAATCAATGCAGCAGAATATCCTAAATTTACATCTCTTTCAAACTCCATGCCTCCAATTTGAGACAGACTTTATGATAAACCTCTCATCTCCAAGCCCAGCTTTTAGTCTCTTCTCTCAAGCTTGATACCTCTAGAGCAGTGATTCTCAACTGGTGGGTCGCGGACCCGTTTTCAGTGGGTCGCGGGCCTTTGCCTGAAAAAAAATAATCCTGTGCTTTTATTTTGAAGGGGATTTTTTATGCAGTGGAGTGCCATCTATTCACACTCTGCCTTGTAATGCTATCAGCAGAGGATAAACTGAAAACTATACCTCTGTCAAATGACACTATAAATAGTCGAATTGAAGACATGTCGGATGACATCAAACAACAGACCACAGCTCAAATTAAAGCAAGTGGTACTTTTGCATTACAAATGGACGAATCTACAGACATAACAACAAAGCAGTTTTACTCATTTACGTGAAACATGTGTGGGACGGGGACTTACAGGAACAATTTCTCTGCACAAGAGAGCTCCCTACTACTACGACTGCAGAGGACATTTTCAGCTCAGGTTCAAACTGCACCATCTTTTCATTAAATACATTTGAGAAGTTGAAAATTGTCCTCGATTTGGGTCGCGGCTTGTCATTAAGGGGTGATGGTGGCTCCTGTTCTCCCCATTTAAATAGTGGAAATGTTACACAGTGGAAGAGTGGTACAGTTTGGCATCTTTCTCAGCTGATTAGCCACTGCCTGTCTTTAAGTGGTGATAAATCAAAGACAGCTCATTGAGATGTGTTAGCATTTAGTATTTGCTGTCTTTTGCTCTGCTGACTTTCACTGATGTTCGCTTGTTTAATGATCTTGTTTTATGGGGTACAGTGAACATCAACACATCCAATTTGTTAGTTATTGACACTGTTTTGATTTTAATTGTTGATGAAGGCACCAGTAAAATGTGTCCTCGCTCTTCTCTGTGAAGTTGTGTTATTTATTATCTTGTTTTCATCAGAGTAAGGAGACTGCCGTTACAGATGGTCAGACACCACTGGCTTAAAGACATTGAATACAGATAACATGAACTTGATTAATCCCTTTAAAGACAATCTATCTATATCACCTTTGAGGCCTGCATGACCCTGCATTCCAGAAGGTCCAGGGTAACCAGGAGTGCCCCTCCTGCCAGGGTAGCCTGTAGTACCCATGGAGCCTTTGGGTCCTGATGCTCCTGGCTCTCCCGGAGTTCCCTTCATGCTCTGGCAAGGCTCACACCTAGCTGGAGGGGCCAAAGTCTGGAGCAGTGCTGGGAGCTGATCTGCAGGGCACAGCCAGAAGTTGCTGAGTAATCCAGTAATATATTAAATATTATGTGATAACTACTTTCATAACAGAGTCTGACCACATAATACTGTCCCTAAGGGATTTCGAGATTCTCTAGACTGTTAGTTGCCATAATATGGAAATCCGTAGCCAATCAGGAGCCTGTTTGCTACAAAGATATTGTGTCCTTTCCAGTCAACTAAATATGCTCCCTCTTATCTGTGCTCCTCCGGCCCATTACCCTAAAATTGATCAAGGTCGACCATCATAGAGGATCTTCCAATTAGAGCTACGCCCATTGATTGGCCAATATATTCATTGCAAATTGGGCTGACTACCTTTACCGACAGGAATAACATATGTGCATGTAATCAGGATGAAAATTAATTTTTGCAACTTCGTCAGATTTTTCATCCTCAAAGGTTCATTGTTCTTTATCAAGTTCATCTCTACTCATTTAAGGAAAGTGGGGTTCAAATATGTGTCATCCACAGCAGCAACCTTATATCATCAATCCACAAACCAATTATAGATTTTGATTGACTTCAGCTATAATCAGTTCTGGAGCAACAGACATAATCTATGTGGATCAGGCATGCTGGGATTTTCTTCAAATCTACATTCATCAAATAATTGTATTTATATTACTAATTGAACAAAATCACAAAATAAAATGGAAAAAATACTACATTTTAAAGCAAAAATTGACCTCAGCTCTATGGAGTGTTTTGGTTAGACAGCCTGCAACTTTACTGTTCTGGCTTACTCTCGATGTTTGTTTACAAAGCCGGGCCGGCTCATGACCTTCGCTCTCCATAGCGCCCATATGACCGACAGCTTCATGGAGGAAGTGTAGCGCCGTCCCATCGGTTTGCCCCCAGGAAAACACTGTTAGCTCTGACAGCACTGTTGGTGTCGTTTGTACTGTTCGTGCTGCTAGCACCGTTAGCTGCTAGCTGCCGAATGCTCTGAATTCCGTATAGAGAACCTTTAACTTTGTAAACTGCAGCAGCAGCAGCTGTTTTAAGTAAAAAAGATCTAAAATCCCACTTCCTGCCCAGGTCCAAACAGCAGATGGACAAAGTTAGCAAACAACTGTTAAACACAGTGGAGCATTGAGCAGCTACAGTGACAGTTATTTACCTCAAGAGTTGGTGGACACCAAACCAATGGTGGATGGCAAATTAGCTACATCAAGTTCATAGAATGATGGTCAGTGTTATAGCTTGTTCTTGCAGAGTTTTTGAGAACCACTCATCGCTCATTTAATCCAGGGAAGTGAAGAGCTCAGTAATGTTAGTATAATGTTAGTATATCCAACATCCAGCAAAAGTAAACTGCAGTCAATTAGCTGCGGCCTGTAAAGGTTGCACAGAGCACTATCGCTTCTTTATCCAAAGTTTATTAATATTGAATGTGTCACATGTCCAAATTCTTCAACTTCACCACTGCACGTCCTTCAGTCCCCGCTAATACACCCGCCAAGTGTGAAGTTGACCGGATGAGTGGTTCTCAGGATATGCAAAGGACACACACACACACACACATGCAGACAGAGATCCCTTGCTTTATAGTTAGATGCGATTCCTCCATCCTCTTGCATCATTGTTGGGAGCAGCAGTGATGATTGCAGATAGAGGAAATGGAAACAGGGAGGCATGTAAAAATGGAAAGCTCCATCAAAGGACTCGATCAAAGGAATTATGTGAAATGTGCTACACTACATCTGAGACAGCTGTAGCTGGCAGCATTTGGTGTGTGCTGGGAGGGAGTTACAGACCAGGGCTTAAAACAAACAAATACTTACTACGGAGAACATCAGTGCAGAGCTTTAGAAGATATTCATCTGAGGGAGGCTTGCCCTGCAACACACAGTTACACTTTGATTCAGCTGAATCCACTGTGGGACTGGGAAAACAGGCTCAACCTGTGATTGAGTGTGCCTGCAGATTTACAGGATCTTCTCAACGCTTCATTCTCTGACTTCACATTGCCCACCCACACTGACAGCAACGCTCCCATTAATCCCTAACTTAACTGCCCCAATCCAGGCAGGAAATCACTGATGGCTTCCTTAAGCCCATTTGTCTTTTCTTTTTCTTTCATTCGCTCAGAGGAGATGGTCAGAAGGAGGTTCACTCACAGGTTTCCCAGGATATCCCGGTTGACCTGGTTGGCCCGGCAACCCGTCGTGACCAGGAAATCCCCTGTGACCAACAGTACCCGTGTGGCCTATGTCCCCTTTCCTTCCTTCGGGCCCCCTGTGGCCTGAGTCACCCATCATTCCTGTCTGAAGATACAGAAGGGAGGAGAGGAAATTACAAAAGGTTGCAAAAGAAAAGAAAAGATGAAATTGAGGTATTTATTGACTAAATTACATTATATCACGCATAAGGATCATTTGATCCCCGGCGCTAAACATTTCCGGACATTGCTTAACAACTTCAAGTAGGCACGTGTGTCAAGTTTTTCTGTCGTAAGAACTATTCAGTATTTAAAGAATTCAGAGGACTGTGTCTTTTTTATCTTCCCAAATCCAAGAGCTGTATAGAGATCAGTGTGTTTGTCTGCTCCAATGTAAATTGCAATCATTAGCATGTCCGGCTAACTAGATACCTATCTACTGTACAGTAAAGTTACTGTGGTGTGGCTACAAACGTTTAAAAAAATCATTGTTCACAACAAGCACATCTACTGCGTAATATTTCCGCACTCTGTGGAAGCAGGCCCCGAATGCTAACAGAGTGAGCTAACAGGTTAGCGGGAGAGCGTTGGAGGCGGACTCCTTCCTGTTCGTTCTTATAAAAGATGCTCAGTGACATGTGAAGCCAAAGTGGCTCAACTGCCGAGTGTTAAATTATCTTCCAGCGATCTTCTGCATCCCCGAGGGAAAGCGCACTAATGTTTCCTTTAGTCCCGCCTCCCAGCCGCTTGATCTTGGCTCAATCACATGAGCTGCTGCACAAAAATAACTCAGATTTGGCTATTCGTCCATTTTACAACTTTCAGGACCTAATAATTTAAATAAGGGCTATTCAAGTGTTCGCACCGGGAGGTTAATTTACTATTTCAAAAAAATGACCTGCTGACTTACAGACATCTCTTTCCCAATGGAAAAACTCATTATTTCTCAAAAGACTAAATATTTCAAGTGAGAAGTCTGTCGTGCGAGAATGGAAAGCTTTACAGGTGTAGCAACAGTAACTAAGTAGTGGGCGGGATTAACAGGTGGTCTTATATACCAATGAAATCTATACACAGCATTTCAAAGTTTTTTGTTAATCATCAAAATGCATGCTAATACAGTGTGGACCTTTATCAGATGATATCCTTCAAATATTATCGCACAACTGAGGGAGGCTATATCTCCATAAATTGTGATTCTGCAGAGAGTACAGTATTGTTTGATATTTCAGATGTGTGCGCCTTTAGAAAAGAGAGCTTTTGTGATGTATAGTTTTGCCCGGGGGGCCAGATTTCCACAGGCCTGGAGGTATTGGCTCTGGAAGTCTTCTATAGCAGCAGTGCAGGCTTGACAGGGCCTCTCACTGCGCTTCAGAATAAGACAGAATGGATTATATCTAATACTGCAAAGTCTAATTTGACAAACCTCTCCTTTCCTTCCCATGGGTCCCACTTTGCCCTGATGGAAGAAAGAAAAGAGGAGTAAGGGTGTGTGGGGGGGGGGGGAAGAGGGGGGAATAGAGAGAGTCAGTTAGAAACTTCAGCTTACATATCAAAGGCTGAGTTAGTATGTCAGGAGCTCACTGCTCTGCACGTTCTCTTTTCTGTCAAAACTGGTGGCTCACAAAATATTTTAGATAGGTCATTGTAATGCATTCTTTAAAGCCTTTTTTGGTGATGCCCACAGCACAGAAACTGTTCTGAAGCACCTTTGTAGCCGGATGGTTACAGCGCCTTCCACCTACCAACATCCCTGTTTCTGTTCTCCTTTGGGACCTCTGTTGCATGCTATAACCCTCTCTCTTTTCCAGTCTACCATTTAAAAAAAGAAAGAAATGCTGCTCCGCCCAGCTAGCAAGCTTCACACATACAGTCTCAGATGCGGGAGATACAACAGGATGCTTTTAATCGCATCACCCCCCACTACTCAAAAACTCAAAGGAAGCTGCGTGGTGCTAAAGGTTCAGCTTTAAATGTCCTCTGATGCACATTAGAGACAACCTGGAGACATCTGATCGCAGCAATTTTCATACCGAGACATGAACACAGAAAACGAGGCATGGAGACACCGCTTTAGTGGCAGCATCACACAATAACCTGCCCTTTGGAGCTTAATATGCAAATCACATGCTCAACATAAACACAGCCGCAAGCTTAAGGCTCTTGAGAGGGTCACATGTAAACGCACTGTTAAGTTAAATATCCACACTGATAACCAAAAGCAGTAATAGTAGCCATGGGTGCCCCGAGGCCTTATATCTCTTTGTCGACCCAGTCCCCACTTCTGTGCCTGTAGTTGCTTTGTCTTTCAAGAAGACACAGTTTTCCCTTCAGTAACCCTTTTCTGTGATTGACTGTGTACACCGGAGGCATGTCAGTATGTGTGTGATTATTTCCTTCTACGTCATATTCTATGTATATCATTAAAAATGCACAACCAACCTTGACATTTAAGTCGACATAGCAATGCTCAGAATCATGAAAAGTTTAGTTATTTATAGCTTCAGTTCCATCGCAACTGAGCAAACTCAGTCTACTGATGAGATTATATTGCCAACTAACAAAACATTTGCTTAGCCCAACTAGGTTTCTTACAAAGATCCTGTTTCAATCTGTAATGATCTCCTAACACTGTAATGTGAATGCCACATCACTAAACGGTAAATGGACTTGCATTCATGTCGTCCCTTTCCAGTCTGGCGACCACTCAAAGCTGCCCACTACATATCAACAGAGGCTGCCATACAAAGGGCCACCTGCCCATCAGGATCTAAAATAATTCACATGGCACAGCCTTCAAGAGCAACTTGGGGGTCAGTATCCTGCCCAAGGACACTGCAGGAGCTGGGGATTGAACCTAACGAATTGGAGGACGACCCGCTCCCCCACTGAGCCGCAGCCCCCCGTAGACAGTCAACGAGGAGGGAAACCAGGAGAACAGAACACTCTCTTGAACTGCTGTGCAGGCTCATATTTATTTTACCCAGTAAGTATCAGGATGTCTGTCTAAAGACAAAAATATGTCATTCCAGCGGTGACACACTTGTGATTCACTGCTGATGCATTTAGCCCTGAGAGTGTGTCACATGGAGGCTGGGATGCTCTCAACACTGTGGAACTACAGCGTGTGAACATTAAACGGCACACTGAGAAATGTACTTCTTTTATCTGTCTCAAGTGTCACAGACAATACTACACAACTCTGTTTCAACATGATGCAATATAGCGCACACACACACACACACTCTGACTGGATGCATTGTCTAAACCCCATCTAGGGACGTGAAGATCGATGCCTCAGTAATCAATACTCGCTCATCAATTCTTAAATGCTCCTCATTTGGTGTCGTTCCCATTATAACATGAACGTTACAATGGGACAGCTGGACATTGCAGATCATACAGCAATTTATATCATTGTTTGCTCATCACCAATTATTGATGAGGATGATAATACCAATGTGGATTGAATCCGTTTTGCAATTCTGCTTCTCACACCTCATGAAGCCTAATTTCACCTTGTGAAATTATTCATGAGGAATATTTCGTTCTCTTTCAGCTCACCTGATCCTGTTTTTGATTCTGTCAAAAAAGAAATTCACACCTGCCATTTGTTCCCACATTTAAGGAATAATTCATGAGAAGATCGAAGGAAAAACACCGTGGTTGGGATGCAAATAAGTACGTTAACTAAGTAAAATACGCTAACACGTCACAAACTTCACTTAATGATAACTCGAAAACACATTAAATGCCTGTAATTCAGCCTTGGTCTGCACTGGATCCTTTTCACTGTTGCCAAGACTGGGACCGTGACACTGTGATCCTCACGGTTGTTCTGAGGTTGAGTCTAAGCACCAAAGCGTGGCTTCGTTTTAAGGGCCCTGAGAGTCTGGAACAACTCTGCTAAATAGATTAGCTTCGTCAGTTACCTCCTTCGTGTCCCTGCTGAAAGTTTACTTTTTCAGAATACATTTTATTTGATTTTATGTTTTTATATCACTGTCTGGAGCTTCCACACTGTTACGTTCTCTCATCTGTATGTTGTCTCTTCTCATTTAGTCAGTTTTAGTCTTGTGTGCTTTCCTGCTCTGTCAGCTATTCGCTTACACCGTTTTCTATTTAATACTTTATTGCATTTCTGTTTTTATATGCTGTCTGATTTTAATCTTGTAAAATACCTTGTAAAGTCACTTTCAGAGTTTATTATCATATATTAATATCATATATATAAAATCTTTATGGTGACTTGGATTAGAGGATTTATGTTATTAACTACTGACAGACTTTACAAAAAATACAACTCCAGTTCTAACCACAATGTAGCTCCTTGTAAGTGATGACTGAAGATGTTCTTCCTCATCCGTGTGCGCTTGTGGGGACATTTGGTCCTCGTAACTTACTGCACACCAGCACACACAGTTCAAACCCAGGATCCCTGTTAAACATATTGAAACAAGCTTCGCTGCCACCCAGTGGATACAGTGTGAGTCTACACTCACAGGTACGCCGGGAGTCCCTGGATCTCCATCTCTGCTTTGCTCCCCCTGCAAAGACATACATCATGATTAAATGTTTTTGTAAGTTTGTTTACATAAGTGCTGGTTTGGCTTTGTGTGGTGTGTGTGTGTGTGTGTGTGTGTGTGTGTGTGTGTGTGTGTAAGGGTGAGATTGAATGTGTGCAATAATGGCGATTTAGGTGTGTGTGCATTATAGTGTGCCGGTCCATGTCTTCATTCTGTGTGTGTGTGTGTGTGTGTGTGTGTGTGTGTGTGTGTAGAGAGAAAAGGTCATGATTACCACTATCAGCCAATAAGAGAGACCCAGGGAGAATTGGCTACTGGTGACCTTTAACAAACCTGACGTGTCATCTCTGGTGTGGCTTTTCCTGCAGCACTGTAACACACCGCTCTCCTTCCTCTGCTCCTGAGAGCTCTCACACTGTTTTCCATTAGTGCGCGTAAAAAGGAAGCAACTGAATCAGAGTGCTCATCATTTGCGACTGATGCTCTGTTCACAATAGTAAAAGTACAATAGGGGGGCCATCTTGTTGTTCCAATGTTAAGGTGTTCATGTGTTCATGCTGGAATAGGCCCAAGCAAACAACAACACAAAGCAATGATTCCTTTGGGTTTGCTTCTTCCACTCACACTAGCAGGAGACATTGGAGTCTGACATACCATGTATCAAAATGACCACAAAGGGCTGATGCCAATCACTGCAACATAACCCCATAACATATGCTAGCAAAAGAAAAAACAATATTGCTTAATCAGCACAACAGTAGCAGCCATTAATGACACCAAGCATGTCCTCTGTATCGTTTCTTAGAAGTTTGGTATTTCACCTATGTGAGATGGAGTGTATATATTATATAGAGTCAGTGTCTTAAAATATGACTGTTTTTATTATTTTGCATTGACACTGGAGAATTATTTGAGGCCATTAAGACCATTATTTAGGGAGATGAAACAATTAAAGAAAATGTAAGTGATCAGTTAAGTGAATAAACATGTGTGACTGTGTGAAGTGTGTGAAGTGTAAGGTGTCCTACCTGGCATCCTTTAGAGCCCGTCTCTCCTCTCTCCCCCTAAAGATGCACTGAACATTAGAACATGTCACACTTACAGGAATTTCAGCTTCTGTTTTTTTGACAATGACAGTGTGACATCCAAGTAACAGGCTAGCTGTTTGAGGAATCATAAGAGAAGAATAACATCACTTTGTCTGCAACATCCGTACTGTAACTAAACTAAACACAGCATGTCAAACAGACTGATCAGGGTCAGGGTGGATGGGATTTATGAGCCTGGAAGTGCTGCTTTTCAAGTGTGAAGGACAACCTTTAGCACCATTAAAATGAATCATGTCATCGAAGCAAAAAATGAATAATACATTTAACAAGTATGTATCATAGTAAGCTGCCACCATCTACAGTAAAACATGCAAATGAACCCCTCACAGCCAAAGCTATAAATCATTCATAAAGTGTCGCCTCTGTTGCCAATTGTAGACTTCATTATGTCCAAACAAAAGCATCCAGGTATTTTATGTGAAATGGTCCATGTACACTAATATATGAGTTGACTTTCACCTTGTGACCTTTGAACCCCGACAGCCCTATGGCACCTGGCAGCCCAGGAAAGCCTGACTCCCCTGTTGATCCCTGTAGAGGTGAAAGATTATTGATGTCTGGCATTCAAGAAAAGACAGGGATCATATTCTGCTGTATTCCTCAAACTGGCCATTTATTTCACACGAGGTGGAAAACCTTCATCTCTTTGTTTGAAATCCAACAAAGAAGCAGATAAAAGGGAATATAAACCTTGAGTTTCCAGTGTGTGTGTGTGTGTGTGTGTGTGTGTAGGTGTCTATTCTATCCCCTGTGAAAACTTCCCAGGCTGCTGCAGTTAAGGAAAATGTTGTTAGCCAGTACTCAAGGCTGGCAAAAAGAAAACTTTTCAAGCCTTCTTTTACTCATTACTCCTCTTCAAAAAACTTAAATAGCATAGGCTTCGAATGATGGCACCTTTTAAAATAACCAAAGTTACCTAATTAAATAGCACAACAGAGACATCTCAGATTCTTATTGAAAACCACAATGGTTGACTTTTTAATTTCTCACAACATGTCAGTTAATAAACATAAAAGTCTAGCCGTCACTCATCAGCAGGATCCAAAGGGAAATAAGAAGTTTCTGGCAGGATGAGAGGAAACAGACGGAGAATGAAGTTGGTTTGGAAAAGAGAAAAGGCCAAAGCTGTCAGCCTGATGGCACCCTGATCCACCGGGGGAATTAGTAGTGCCCTCACTAAGCCGACCGCCATGTTGAATGTTCAAACGCTGCCAGCTTCAGTATAGACTAACTGGGACTGGGGGCATGAAGGTGCAAATACTGAGCATGCTTTTGGCAACGGAAGGTTAAGCGACAGACAACCGTGGCCGAGAGCGTGTGTGGAGAGTCAAACTGTACAGCAACATGGGAAACAGCTAGAGAGAGGAAGAAATGACCTAAACTGATTCTGGCTCTCAACATGGTGACGGCTGAACGGCAGCCGTGAATGAGCCAGTGGGGCACGTTCACGTGCACTGAAAGCTGCCTGATTCTGGTCTTTATGCCATTAGTATTTAAAGACCAGAATCAGGGGCAACAGCCACATGCTGAAACTGTTTCAAACGTCGTATTGTCATTGAGGTGAGGAACCATCCTTTCTGTACGGAGACCAAGAACCTGTGCTCACCAACTGTATCTATACTACAGCCAGGGAGGCTGCACTGAAGTGCTGGGTGGATGGATACACTGTTGCTCCTCAAGAAATAGTTACATCACATACCTAAACTCACAAATTGATTTTTTTGGTCGGATTAAACAAATTAGATGAATTCATTGTAATTAGTGTGTCTATAGATGTATTATTTCACTTTGGACAGAGCTAAGCTAGCTGATTCCCCCTGCTGCTAGGCTACCTCCTGTTTGTCCCCATTCTAACTAAAGAAAACAATTATCTAGCGACACTAGGTATAATGTAAATGCCTGTAATTATCTAGTGTAAGAATAAATAAAGTAGGTATTACAGAAAACACAAGGAGGCAGACAGAAAGACATAGAAATGAAAACAGACAGCAGGATGCAGTGCTGGAGAGCAGTGAAGACAGAGGTGAAAGGAACCAATGTGATGTGGCGGATAATCCGCTGCTCCACTCACCTTCTGGCCTGGTGGACCAACGGGACCAGTGACCCCTAGATCTCCACACTTCCCCTAAATAAAACACACAACACATATGTCTGACGATATTTCTGTTGATTACACTCGTTCCTAAATCTAATGCGTAACACAAATCATAGCGCTCCAATTCATCGGTCACAAAGCGCGGCACACAGGTCGGTGAGAGCACATGAGAGTGTAGCTGCAGCACAGCATGCACAAAGAAGTTTCTTCTGAAGGGGATAATAGATCATAGCATGTGGTGATTAATCACCGTACTCTCAGCCAGTCATGTTGCTTGTCTCTTCCCTGTTAAACAGCATGGGCCAATCACACGAGGCATCAGTGGTGGTGACAGCTTTCCTAACTAGAGAAAGTACTGCTGTGTCCATTCAGAGAGGTCCAGAGGGCTCACGTGCAGACTTGGAGGTTAATGTTTCAGCTGGTAAAGGTGGAGATCATTTTAATAACTTTATACACTGTTAGCTTGTAAATTGCCCATCTTATGATGGCTTATCTTTACCTGTACTTGTTATATAAGGTTTTAGTTATTGAATATATTTTGTATTGCTAATTTAAATAAGTAACTAGCAAGTGATTTAATAAATGTAGTGGAGCAAAAAGTACAATATTTGTCTCTGAATTGTAGTGGAGTAGAAGTATAAAGTAGCAGAAATTTGTAATAAGTAACGTACAAGTGCCTCAAAATTTTACTTAAGTAAAGTAGCCTACTTGCTTTAATGTACTTAGTTACTTTTCCACCACTGGGAGGTACAACAAAGATTCTGTGTTAAAAGTCCTAATGTCCAAATACCAACTGTCCTTGGCAGATTAGCATTTATGTCATATTTAGAAACACCAACAATAATGATTTCAAACAAGTTGGCTCCCTCTCAGCAAAACATAGTTTTCTCTACGGGAACATCAAGAGAACAGGGAGGGAGGTTGCAGCATTAGGAGGGGCTGAGAATAGCCGAGCAGCTGGGGAGCAGCGGCCCATTAGCATAATAACTAATTATAACGTTCAATGTACGGACCTTGGGACCATCTTGGCCGATCTCTCCGGGCGGCCCCCGAGGCCCCTCGGCTCCCTGGATTCCCTGGACGAAGAGAGATATTGAAGGAGACAAGGAAAAGGAGAGGGAGGGGAGGGAAAGGACAAGGGAGGAAGGGCATGAGAGGGGTAGAGAGAATGAGATGAAAGAGACAGACACAGTGCTTTGGGCTGAATGTGACAGAGTGCGTGACGGCTTAGTCAGGAGGTACTGAGGGAGAAATGAGATGGCGCAGGTCCACTCACAAACGCACACACTCACAAACAAACTCATGCACATCCACACTTGCAAGCTTTGAGCGTGCAAACACACGCTAGTTTGCATATTCAACAAAGCATTCTGCTGTGTCCAGAGCCCAGCTCTATCTTCCTACGTGCCTTCACCAGAGAAACGCACGCAAATACATCCACTGTCCAGTAATCGGATTGACTATGAGGGGAAAACGGGTAACATGAGCCTCTTTTCAATAACAAGCCAAACAATAACAATATGGGTACTCATCATAAATGAAATATTATACCACAATATAAGTGTTGAATACATATCAATCGCCACTCTACATTTAATATCCACAGATATGCGTTACTATAATGTCACGGAGTATTGATTCTCACTCCCAACTCATCCACAAACGTTGGTCAGTGGCCCTACGTTCAAACTACAATGCTCCAGGTACCACTGTCACTTTTAGACGGGTCAGGGATGGCCAGTGTTAGTCTCCACTCGCTAAAGGCATAATGTGACTTGATAGACATACATAATATTGCGCTTAACCTGAAACCAAATACAAATGCAGTTAGTTAGTGATGTGCCCCTTGGCCTCTGAAGTAACTCTCAGCTGCTACAGCGGATAGTAAACTAGTTAGCTGGAAATGCCAACAATCTCAGCTAATGTGTGAGACAAACAGGCCTCCGTTCCTCTCGCTTTAGCTCTTGTATTTTGGAGAACTCACAGACTGTATATAAGAAGTGGACGCAGTCATCGTCACCCATTGGTTTGTGGACTGATGTTATGAAGCCTCCGCCATGTGTTGCCATGTTGCCTTTTTGCAACCGGTGAATGTAAGTTACCATATTTGGATGACGGAGGAGTGATGTAGAGACACCGAATATGTCTCTGGTAGTGCCAGCGACCTGTCAATCACAATCACTCTAAATGGACCATAATGTACTAAATGAACATCATGCTGTATCGAAGAAGACTTGAAACTAGAGATTGAGACCATAAACTCATGTTTACAATGTTTACTGAGGTAATAAATCAAGAGAGAAGTAGTCATTTTCTCATAGACTTCTATACAACCAGAGGAGTCGCCCCCTGGTGGCCAGTAGAGAGAATGCAGGTTTAAGGCACTTCTGCATCGGTTTCACTTAGCAGAACCAGAGGTTGCTGCCTGGGAGAACTCTAATGTTCAAAAGGCCTGCTGTTTCAAGTTACGCTTGCTAAGTTATAATTGGACAATCACTGTTTGGGGGAGGAATTTAATGAATGGTCAGTTATGTTGGATTATGTATTTTTCCAAACTGTCTTATATATTTATCACATCCCTTTGTTCAGAGATTTGATTGCAACCTATTGATTGATATGTAACTGATATTGGATTGATATGGAGTTCTGGTGATAGCTGGGGTTCACATCTGGGTTGAATCAGGTGTACATAGACCTCCTTCGTCACACGGTGACTATTACATTATTAAGAGCATTTATCCAGTGTGTGGGAGCCCATTTTATTGATATTGTTATGATCCAGACACAGTTTCCCAATTTAGAAATGATTTTAAAGCTGAAGGGGTTTGAATGATTTGTGTTGACATTTGCATCTGAACATTTTAAGCCCTTTCAGTTTGTAAAAGTATCAATTCAATACTAAAGTTGATGAGTTGCTGGGGAAACACATTGACAATATAGGCAATTAAAATACACAATTTCAAGCGATAAAGACATACCATTTAACGTTTATTGATGAATAAGGAGCCAAACCAGGAGTATGCACATTCCAAATGCCAAATTTGATTGGTGCTGGTTGGGTCAACTGACAATAACTTTGGACTCTATGTATAGTCATTGTATATGGTTGCCAAGATAGAAGATACAAGGGGTGACTCATCCTATTTTCTCCTCTTCACTCTGTGTGTGTGTGTGTGTGTGTGTTTGTGTTTGTCTGTATAGAGCAGTGCTCTGTTCTACTGACAGGAAAGAGGAGGATGAAGACTAAGAGGTGAATATTGTGGTTGGGGACCTCTGTGCACTTAGATCTATGCAGCAGGCTACACCAGCTTTAGCTCTTTGTTTGTTTTATCAAAGCTTTATGTGCCACAGAAAAAGTATGAACCAAATGCAGTCTAAAAATAGACCCAATTTTGAAATGATCAAATCTGTATTCAAGCCATTTATGTTTCTTATTTTGATATTGGATCAGGATACAGGAAATATACTGAATCATTTTCGGTGTCGTTGATCCATGGCTGTCCACCGATTCATTTCCTCAAGGCAAATGTGTCCTGAGTTACAGTACAAGCCTTTCCATTCAGTGTTCACTGGACTCTTCACTCCGTCTATCTGTACTGTCTCACCTTGACCACAAGAGGGCAGTATAGCTGCAAACATACTTTCCAAAGATCACCATGGAGGTCTGTGTATTCACAATGCTCTGCTGTAATTGCATCTGTCCCTGTGTAATCTTGTTTACCAGAGGGGGGTGCCCTGATTGTGTGTACAGCTGTAAATCCACACACACTCATCTGACTTTGGCTCTAAATTAACAGCCAATCACCACCTTAATGGCATTGCTAAGTAAATCAAATGGACTCCTATGGTGCCTGGGCTGAATTAATGATCTCATTATGAGCTGACTGCAGAGACGGTAATGTGAATTGTAGTCTAGCAGATACGACTGCAGTGCTCAAAGACAAATGTGAAAACAGGTGGACCCTCTTACTCACTTATAGGTAACAATTTGTGATATGCTTTGAATATGTTGATCCCATAAGGATTAAATGTGGGCCAAACCACCAGTTTTAGGGAAGTTAATAATTATCCATTTAACCGTTAACCAACAATAACAATTTTGACCAATTAATGCTGGAAAAAAAGCTGGAAGGAAAATAACTTGTCCACCTTAAAGATCAGCCTAGCTTCATCTAAGCCGGAGCTGTTGCTAGCTTCAAGGCTAACCCCCTTCACCCCAATCATCATGGTTGCAGGACCTTGGCTTGGGTCTTAAGGAGTTGTAGCATTTATTCACCGCCAAATAAACTGTACACACATTGCACTGCTACGTTCGCAGCTATAACACTACTGCTGACTTCATACTCATTGTCATACACTCTCTCTTTCTTGACCGGGCACTTGCTAATGTTATGCCAGGCTGACAACTTTGCAGCTAAACTAATTGATGCAGTGGAGTATTACTGTGAAAGTGGCTGCATGTATCCACGACAATGCATAATACATTGTTGCTGCTGACTCTCCCGGACGGGTGAACCGGGGACATTGTTGCCTGTTTTGCACATACACTGCAGCTGGCGGTAAATGATGGATAAAAAACATTTGTGCACCGGAAATTGTTGCAGCTTGCCACTTCAACCACAGCACCCCTGCATGCAAGACACTAATCCCGTGGGTTAACAGTTAAAGGTCTTTAAGGAGGGCCGACTATTGGTCAGAAAGCCCACGTGGGCTGACTGTATGGGCCTTTTTCTTGGTTTATTTGACAGGGGTGAAATTTGACAACTTCCAATTGGGACAATAGTCAATAGCCTTTATTTAGTCAACATTTGGTTTGACTTTTTGGCTATTTGTTTCCTGTCTACTACCAATTTGGAATGCCAAATTACCTGCAGTCCTTGTCATTGCTAACTCTACTATTGGCTGGAAACCTACTGCCTCCCCAATCTCCTCTCCAAAAGTTCTGTGTCTTGCTCACATGTTTTTGCATATCAAACAAAGAACTATGGAAATGGAGGCAATGGCAAACACTTTCCTCGAAGGTGTTCATTCAGTTGTACACACAAAATGTGTCAGAAGTAGCTGTGTGACATTTTTTTAAGAGAGAGGGTTTAATTAAAGAGAAGTTCAACCGATGCCTGATTTTCACATCTTTGCACACCTGGCCAGTTGCTGTGTTAAGTGGACATGATTGTCTGTTTAAGAAAGTTACAGAAAACATAGATTCATCATTCAGAAAGGGGGTTTCAGACGCTGGTAGATGAAAGCACTTCATTTGGATCATACTGAGACTATGCTGATACCAATGCACTGAGACATCCTTTAGCACTTATCCCTTCTGTATGAGACCAGCAGCAGGCTTTCAAGTTAACTACAATGTAAACCCATCCACATCATTATCTGACAGTCAGAACAACAGACGCAGTGTAAAGTGTGCGACTGTGCATGTATGGGTCAAACAAACACAGGACTTTCACCCAGGTGTTTGTGTCTCCTGTGAAACAAGTCATTGGTGACTTATTTTGCCATAGATTTGTCATGTAACTTCCATAAACCTAAAAACTACATAAACCTACACTGCAAATTTATTTTGACAGACTGTATGCATACAACGAGCGAACACTGACACTAGAGGAGTACCTAGAGCGTGGACCACTGACAAAGTGGCGGTATTCTGCAAGCTGGAACTGAGAATATGTTGCCCGACAAACTAGCAGAATTCTCTGGTGCAGCAACACAACATGTGATTCCTGCAGCAATTGTTTTTGCTAAAAACAAATGAGGTGTCAATATTGGGAAACATCACTGAATCATTGCAGCCTGATGAAGAAAACTGAAAGAGTGATGATGTTATACTAACCAGTGTCCCGTCTATTCCAGGTAGTCCTCGTGGCCCAGGCAAGCCTCCCTCTCCCTAAAAAAGCATTCAAGATAAAGAGAAAACAACAACTGTGGAAAGGGCTTCAAGACACCAAAGATTCTGACGAGTCATTTTCAGGTCACACTCTACCTGAGGTCCCTTTAGGCCCACTTCGCCAGGAGGTCCTTGGACACCCTGTGGATGACACAGTGATGGGTTTGTAAAGATTACATGATGTCACCTCATGTTTTCAACCCAGTGGATGTATTTTATCTTCATTGTTAATAATCTGGATATAAACTTTCAGTTGTAACCATGTGTGTTCATGTTAGATATGTTCAGCTTTGCTCATCATCCTTTATTCGGGGATACTTCTGTGACTACATACATGTAAGAATTGTTTGCTTGTTTGTGTCTACGTTTGTGTGACAATCAAACACCCTGAAAGAACACAAAGACAGTTTAATGCAGCCTCTGTTACAAGGCAATAACAAGCAGGAAGATGTAGTATAGTAAAAATATTTACAATCATAAAACCTGCATTTACAGTTTTTTGTTTCCAGCATTCCATCTAAACACCAGCTTGATTAGGAAGGGAGGGTTTGGTTTTGGATGCAGTGTGGAGTTGCTCCGCACGCAATGCTGTCTGCTACTGTGGACATACAGAGGTCTGCTTGTTAACACATGCACATGTTAACATGGGTGTCCACTGCATTTCACACAGTTTGTGTAACCTACATCCAGACACACTGGGTGTCTGGACATTAGTACTCAAGGTTGTGTAATTAGAAGAGACAGGAGAAACAGACCCGTGTGTATGTGGTTTTCTTGTGCATATATGTATGTGTGCTTTACACACTGCCTCCTATAAGAGTGAGTATGTGGTTGTGGGGTGTGACAGTGATGAGATCTGACCCTTGCAGACACGAGATGTAAAAGTGTTCTTAACACAGCCAACAGTTAAAATTGACTTTGACATTTGAAATAGTTGTGCAGCCCCTTTAATATGATGGCATTTCCAATTGGCCTGTCATGGCCTTCAACAGTTATGATAAATATGTTTTTTAACAAACATCAAAGGATATTCAGATACATATTTTGTTTGTTCTATGGAAATAAGTTCAAATATTATTTTCAATCAGGTTTAGTTGGTTTTTTTTGCCGGATATTGTTGAGGGACATGCATTGGCATCTCCTTTTGTAGAACCAATTGCATTGCATCTGCTCTCTGAAAATACCTGATAATTGGCCAAGGTCTCCTGTCACTGGCTAGATTTGTTAAAGCCTGAAAACAGAGTTAAGAAAAGGTGCAGAGGTCTAGTTTTCTCTCAGACCAATTGAATTACAATATGCTGAAAGGTCATTATGGAATATTTGCCCAATGACGGCAAAAATTAAACTCCCCACTCCGGCATTAATGGAGCCTGACCGCTCATGGACCGTGTGCAGACACAAAGGCTTAGGACAGCTTTGTCCATTCTGTGTCCTCGTGTGTGCACTTGTGTATTTTCAGTGTGTGTATTTGCAGTGTGTATGTGTGTGTTTGTGTGTGTGGGTGGGCAGTGAGTTTACTAGCACACGCAGCAATGTGTAAAAGCGCCAATGAATCTGAGCTCTCATGTTTGTCCTTGATGGGAGCATTTAAAAACCAGTAGCTTGTTATATGTACAGAATGCTGAGTGAACAGGAATTATGTTTTGTAAGCTGTCTCTGCATTCATCAGCAGCTGTAACTTTGTGAATTATGCTCTAAGAACCGGTATTAATGCATTGATCTTTATCCTTTTTCTCTGACTTGTAATTGCTGCAGATTCATCACAGAGTGATGTTTTAACTTCACTATCAAATAACTGAACCCTTCAACAGTTGACAGATATCATCTGTATACATTTTAAAATCAGCATTCTGTCATAAAAACAGAATCAACTCACCGGGGCGCCTTGAGCTCCGGCAGCACCACTGACTCCCTTCACTCCCTGAAGACACAACAGACATGTCAGTATGTTTCACCTTACGAGGGGTTTGGTGACGAGTTCAACAGGATAGCAAGAGTCTTGTAGAGTAGAGAATATGATTAAAAGAAAAACATATTAAATATGATTCACCTACATGTACTTATATCATATGCATACTTGTACTGTGTACACTCTCATATGTATTCATTATTTATATTTATACCACCTTGTATCATATCTATGCCATCATTACTTCTATTTACACTCTGCACACAACTGCCTACTGTAACATGTTCATACGTATATATTTTAGTCCATTTATTACACACTTTTCATGCTGTTCATACTGTTCATGCTGTATATGTCTCAGCATATTCTCATTTTTATATATACCACTATACATATAAACATTACTCTGCAATTTATTGCTTTCTGCACAGATATTGCGCTTTTCTAGTCTTTCCGACCACTCAAAGCGCTTTCACACTACATGTCATCAATCACCCATTCACACCCATTCACACACTGATGGCTGGGGCTAAGTGACACCTGCCCATCAGATTCTATCACATTCACACACCATAGGAACAGCTATGGGAGCATTTTGGGGTTAAGTGTCTTGCTCAAGGACACATCGACATGGGACTAGCGGAGCCGGGGATGAATTGCTCAACAAAGACGGACACATTTTTAAGTAAAAACTTAACAATGAAGTTGTCCTTTCTATTGCTAAAAGCAGAGTACACTATGCAAACATATACGGAGTGGGATTGCAGTGGTTTAGATTCATGCACATTAATGTGCTACTTTTGCTTGTCTGTAAAACTTCCCTCTTGTATCAAGTTACCCACAGGGGAAAGTGGTTAATCCATGCTACTTGCATCTTAGGGAATTGTTTGAATATGGCGTGTTGTGAGTTTATCAGTAGCAGTGATAGTGACGCACAAACACCAGGCGAATTCTGTGGTGTGGAGATCTTGCAAGGCGGGAGCTCGTTAAAACAGAAATGAACAGCAGCAAACAAACCCATTTTTAGCCACAACACAGCATGCGAATAAAGTTTTAACCGTCCTCAACACACCAAAACCACTTCTTGGTTTCCCTCTCAAACCCCTCCTGTTTGAATATAGTGGGACTCAAGCTGTATGTGAACATGTTCCAGTGTGTACCATGCTAACACACCGCCACTGGCAATGAACATGTGAAACAAGCTGTAAAATATATTCTGGTACTGCAAGCCATTTATTTGTTAAGTCACATGCATATATCAAACTTGGTGTTGTAGTGTCCTAACATACACACCACTTCTCCCTTTCTCTGGCTTTCGTGGCATCAAAAAGCGTCATAAAAAACATCTTTAGTTGACAACATTTTTCAGCCATCAATCAAAGGAGTCGGTAACATTGGTGAAACCAGCAAGAGTATGCCAGATTTTCAAATGATCCAAACCAAAAACCCAATCCAGTGTGCCAACTCTTGTCAACTTGCAGCACTAGCTCCAAAAGTGGCTAAATCTAGTGAGAATTTTGCCAAGTCAGCAACACTGACAGCCCGTCCCTTCAGGCCTCCCTCCAATGGTGTTCCCCATAAATTATCAAAATGAACGTAAACAATGAACATAGCTGTTGTTACACAGCTCTCAAGCTAGCACCTTGTGGAAGACTCCATTGACGACACGCAATGAGTGCACAGCACAGGTAGACAGGTAGGCCATTCAATAGTTACAGGCTTATTACAGTCATACTGGATTTTTTTCTTTTTTTTGAAAGCATTTGATTTATTGATTGCTGAGAAAAAAACAGAACGGACAATGTGTTATTTTTCTACTACTCTACTTTGTCTGTGGCCTAACCCCCAAGCTACTGGTTCCTTCTGAAGGCATAAGTCTTTTATAAATGGATCGTAAATATATACTTTTACGAAAGAAAAAGATTAATAATTTACCCCCCAAAAAATGGACAATGTCGTTTTTAGCAAACGTTACTCCAACAGGAAAAAACAGTGTTGGGGGACTATTTTCAAAGGTGGGTTACTACTCATTTTGGGCTTCGGAGAATATCTGTGGCAGCAGGATGGTTTATGTGGGAAAGATTTCAAATAAATGACAGTGTGTATGTTCATGGTACACTGAAACAGTGTGGGTCAATAACACAGAGGAAGAATATGTATCATGCTCTGGATACACACATAATGCTTGTTAGTAGGATACATTATTGCTGTTTAAGACGGCGCATGGGATTTGTTGACAATAAAGAAAACATGACGACCATCAGATCTTCAAAATGTCAAGAAATGCGAATTGAATATATAAATATTTATGTATATTCACATATGAAGCTCTGCATGTCCCACACAGCAGTACGTTTCACCTGAGGGAAACTCTCCACAGAACTTCTAGACTGGGAGAGCGTCATGACGGACAGAGCCTTGTGTTGTCACACCCTCTAACACGGCAACCTATAATCTATGATAATGTCTGTTAATTGGTTCATCTAAAACAAAATCCGGTGAGGTGATTGCAGTTAACTGGCTCTTGCCGTTTACCCCTTTGGACCAGATCTCGTTGAACCTGATCTTCCTCTTAACCTGGATTTTATCTATGGTCTAACTATAGTCCTGGTTCAGGTCTCTGCAGGGCTTTAAGTATGTCACCATGAGGATCAAGGCAGTTTTTTGAATTCATTCTCTGCAGACACAGACGTTACCAGACCCACCAGCATATATTTTAAGTGCAGAGCTCTGCATGTTGGCAGTGAGGAAACAACTGAATTAGCTCTCCACTGTGTCTGTTTTCTCGCCGCACTATACGCGCATGAACCCATAAGAGCAACAGACCTCATAATTACACAGCCAAGACGCCCACCACGGCCCAATAAATGACAAGATGACATACATTTTTGGATGACTAGAACAAGAGAAAATAGACAAGTGCACAGAGACCAGACTAACCTGTGAGCAGACTATGCTGCTACTTCACCATGCCACATACTGTTAAAGGCTGAAGAGACTGTGACGGCTAGACGTCTCTGAGATTAACTACACTTGAATGAATCCTGGTTGGGGATCAAAAAGAAAAGTCAATAAAATATAAAGACAGTTAGCAGAACAATACAACAACAAAAGTCCATGTCTGACAACATCCTTTTAAAACGGGATCAAACTAAACAGTGTCTACTGCTCAGTTGCTGCCTCAAGTGAGAGAGTTCGAGTGTGTCAGACGCTTGTTCACGATTGAGAGTTGGAAGAAGAGGAGATCGATAGGCCAATTTGTCAGTGTTAGCAGAAATAGTGCTGACAGAAAGGAAACAAGAAGACAGAGAGAGAAATGATCCAGTTGATGTAGTTTGGGTATCTCACAAGAATACATCCAGGGGGATGATTATCGGCCGTGTATCTCAAATCTTTGGTCTCAAACCTTTTGTTGCTGACAATGCACTGTCTAACCAGCAAATCATATTTAGGACAAACACAACCATTTCAACATGTCCTGGAAAGTTAAAGGTTTGGTTCGCTCAAGTGTGTCAAATTACCACTTTCCACCAAAGAACGAGTCCCTCTAAAAACTGTTGAAAGCGTGTCCTAGTACTAGTAGTCTCCGACTGAAATTAATATTCAAAGCTCATTTCAGCAGACTTTATAGACCAAATATTTGTCACCCCTTGTTGCACCATGCTCCTTCACTCTCCTATATAGAACCTTCAAAAAAAAACTGCCAGCTACTACAGGACCAACTGTCCACCCTCCATAACAGACAACAGAGGGAAAAAAGAAGACTGGCAGCCAGGCTGATTAATTCTAACCTCAAATTATGTCACTACCACAGACGGCATGTCTGTGCACTCTGTCATTATAAATAGCACATCCTGTGTGTTTGTTTAGGGGTGGGGGTTCAGTACATGTCAAGGAATGTTCCATATGTGCCTCACTTTTACACGAGTAAAACAGCAGCTCCAATATCGCCATCATTAATCACCTTATTAAATATGAGTGATGGTACATTTATTACATGTTGTCAGTTTAATGTATTGTTCTCAAAATGGATATTTTTTGGGGGAATCCAAGGGTCTTAAAGTAAATGTTTACTTTGATCAGATACAATGTTAGGTGACTGACAGTTAGAGCACTTTAAGAGCACTTTTAAGTCAAAGTGAAGTCACATTTAGTTTTGTAGTGAAAAATAATGTCAACGTGATTTTTAAATGTATCATTATTTCTTTATTAGTAAAAAAAAGAAAAAAGTTATGTGGGGAACTATCACATATGCACCTTTTCGTTTTAGCTGCCTGAGGCTCATGTCCCTGTCTTTGTTAAATGGACAGCAGCTGGCAGGCTGAGCCCCAGGAGAGGAATGAGAGACATAGTACACCAACTGGGGATGTAGCCAGTGGTAGTGTAGAGTAAGGACCATATCAGCAACCAAGCAGGCCCAAGTGAAATGTGCAGGTATGTTTACATCCTGTTTAATGTGCTGCAGCTGCGCAGCTAATTGGCTAACGTTAGCAGTGCAATTTGCCTCTGTTTGTTTGGTCGCTAATTCAACAAACTAAGGTGCAGGACAAGATGTGTGTGTTCACGTTTAATAGATAAGAAGGAGACTTATGTAGAGAAGTCAATGCGGCTTTAAATGGTTTGGATGTTTATTCAGTTACTTCTTCCATCCGTCCAAGCTTCTTGTGGAAATCAACACATTCACCCCAACTAACTAAACTCAACCTCCCACTTTTCATCTTGATTTATAAAAATATTTTTTACAAATACAAATGCAAAACTAAAAACCTCGAATGCAACAAACATCCTCAAGGCTCAAATGCTATGTATACAAAGAACTCACAGCCGGATTTTCACATATTGTAGTTTATATATAGTATAGTTTCATAGTAATATCAAGGCTTGCTTTGTTGCAATAATGATCACAATAATGATAACATATAAAGCAAAGTTGGCAAATGCCCATTTAGAAAGTTTGGAAACAAAGCACTCAACAAATGTAGCTGCTCCTTTCATATTCACAAGTTGTAGTTATTTAATTAAGATGATCAAATGCACAACCAGCCAATCTCCCATTCACTGTTTGTGTAGCGCCTCGTCTGAAATAAAGCTTCTTATACAAACCTTTGAACATCTCATGTTAATGTCTGTCTGCCAAGATTCCAAACATTTTGGTACTTATTATTCCAGTCAATCTGTACTATAATTTGCAACAGCTGAATACCAAATAATATTTTTAAACTGTTAAATAAAATATCCTGCTCTTATTCTGAGAGTCAAACAGACAGATTTGAAGTCTAAAAGGTTAAAAAGAAAAGCATATTGACCCAGAGCTCTGTGCTTCCGAAGCAATATCTGTTATATATATATATATATATATATATATATATATATATAAATGTATAATATCTCATCTGTTGCATAAGTGAGCATTCAATGTATTAATGTGTTTACCACATCGGTATTACGCCTTTAACTCGGTGACCCCCGGAGGAGTGGGGGGGGCTCTGTACATCGGTACTTGTGTTGAAGAACTGATGAGGTGTGATAGCCTGCAGGCTGGAGAAGCTGTAACTTCCATATGTATTTAGGAGGTCTCTGAACTTACTACTAAATTGCAAGCATAGGAGTTAAAAATAAACCCAGTAGCTTCCCTCTGATTTGTAAAAAAATCCCATTTGAAGACAAAAACATCTTATCAAATGTCTTCTTACAGGTAACAGTTATAGTGCTGGTAATTATAGGGAAGGAATGTGTGATATTTTTATCTCTCTGTGACATGTCAAAATAAATTTGGATGTAGGAAACTCGGTGCCTGATAATAAGAGACCGACACCAACCCCAAAGATGATCATTTTTAACTTGTTTGACTTGAGTGAGAAACATCAAATCCAACAGTGAAATTGAAAGTTGATGCTGATGAAAGAGAGCAGTTTTACGGGAGTGTGTGATTAAAGAGCATGCTGACAGCCTTAAGGCTTATAGAGTATATCTAAGCTAAGGGCTCATTAACATTCAATGGAGCTGTCATGGCTGGGTGGACAGAAATTATTTGCAGTCAATGGAAGCTGTATCCTCAGGCGGAGACCACATTGTGAGCAGATAACATCTGGATCTTTTTTTTTACTACTTCACTGTGATTGGGTGTTCTCTCCCTGTCAGTTCTATGGTAACTGGCTTAATGCTGCACGGTGGTCTAAATGCTGTTTTGAAGAATCATCCTTGAAACAAATCCTCCATGTGGTAGTTGTAGAATGTAAACTCCTCATCAGGTCATCAAAATATCTAGCCTCCCAGAAACAATACAGAGGACATGACCTCAGTGTTCCCTGGCCCTGATGTGAGGCTTCATCGATGTCATGGTGAAGAAAATCCAGGCGGTGGACACTGAGGTCATGTTCACAGTATTCCTGGTATAAAATTACAAATGGTGGATTTTCGATTTTTGAACAATCCCTACTGAAATGTAAGTAATTTCAAGCCAACAAAATACATTACATTACAGTCATTTTAGCAGACGCTTTTATCCAAAGCGACTTACAATTCAGATTCTATCACATTTCTACACCGTAGGCACAGCTACAGGAGCAATTTTGGGGTTAAGTGTCTTGGTCAAGGACACATCGACATGCAACTAGCAGAGCCGGAGCAAGACAGCCCTGCTATCCACTTAGCCACAGTCTCACCCCTAAATACATATCACCATTTTTGTACCCTTGTCTGTGGCAGGAAGGTTTTGTAGCCGCATGTCGACGTCATGGTTGTGAAGTAATTAAGAAAAGTCAGGCTTTTAGCGTCACACTGGACTGCCAATCGACCCCAAGATCTTTTCAAAACAGTCAACTATATCAGAGCACGGTAGGTAAAGCACTTCCTGGGCCTGCTCATATGACCACTCGTTGTCAGGTGACCTAAGTGTGAAACTTCAGCCATGTGACAACAAGTCGTCTGTCGTCAAAGTCGTGTGCAGCTCCAATCCATGAGAAAGACCATGATAGTACTTGAAGTTGAAGCTTAAGGACCTGATTGTTTCTACAAAAGAGCCGTCAAATAAATCCTTTCCATTGCTGAGCCAGATCTCCACCAGTCAACAGAAGGACCTGACAAACACTCACATTCACTCACACAGCTGTGGAAGTCTTTTATTGGAGCTACATGTTCAGCATGTTGCTTTGATCGAGCCCAGTGATGTTGAGCTTCTGCCTGAAATACTTCAAATTGGCCTCACTGTGACTTCAGAAAGACTTAACGACTCAGCTCAACTGGTTTCTTGTGTTGGAGCTGAATTGAAACCTTGTTAGACCTGTGACGCTCTCAGCTCACCTGTGGTGTATTTATGTGGTGTATTTATATCCACACTTCTCCAAAATAAATGTACATGTCTTCAATAAATATTAGAGAAAAGCTAACATGTGCACCCAAAATACTTCATGTTTGCTTCAGTGATTCATAACTGTCCAGTTTGGTCAAAGAAGGCATGAGCAGGCTGTTCTTGTTTAGTTTACTGTAGTTTTCCATCCTTCTTTCTGTGATCACCTGTGTTGTATTAGTCTCATCAGCATTGCTCTTCAATCAGCGTTCAGGCTGCCCTTGTGTCTGCCCACCTGTGTCTTGTCTGATTAGTTTCTTGTGTATTTAGAGTCCTGTCTCTTGTCTGCTGGTTGTTGGTTCCTCTGCTATGTTCCTATATGTGTCCGTTGTGCAGTTGTCCTGATCCTCTTTCGTTTGTCATTTTGCCAGTTTCTGGTCTTTGGGTTTTCAGCTCATCATTTTTGGACTCCACTGGCATGTAGGTTTTGTATTGAAAGTTCTGCTCCCTGTATTTGTCCTCATTTGGGCCCATCCCCTGTTTTCTGTTCTGTGAGAAAATGTTTCCCTCTAAACGTAATTGAGTATACAGCTCAGGTCTATGGGGATGTCATTTTTAGGAGACAGGGTTGGTAATGAGGACAGACCCAAGGAGAATTATCACAGGCTTTACAGTTCCCCTTCAGCTCTATAGATTTAGCGTCTTTCAGCGCACTGTTTGGGTTTTTACGGCCTACAACTTTATTTCTTTGGTTCACTCTTATCTCATGAGTGCTGTTCCACGCAGCAGCAGGCACCTGTTTTCAGTGAAAAAAACTCTGATGAAGCTGAGGAGACAGACTATACACTAACCACCAAGCAGCAAACGGATAAAGTTGGAGATTAGCTGGTGAACATGGTGGAGTATTTAGCAGCTAAAGAGCCAGATGTTTTTTTCTTAACAATGATAAACAACAGGACTATGGCTATATACTGACACACACACACACACCTGAGAGCCTCCTGTAGTTCCCCCACAGTAACTCTCTCAAAGGGTCATACATGTGCTTCTAGTTGCTGTTCAAACTTAACCAGCAAAGACACAGAGAGACAGTCAGGATCTGCTTGTGGACTACCAGCCCTACGCTCCACCGTCTCCTGTGTCCCTGACCTTTCCACATCACACCCTATGTACACAACCCTCCTACAGACATGCCAACAGCCACTTTTAATTATACTGGGAGGGAGAGTTCTACCCGCCATGTATTTAAGCAGAAGGTATTATGTTCATTTAGAGCAACAATAGGTAAGGGTGTGAGATTGAGGATCTTCAATACCATTATAAATGGACTGTACTTGTATAGCGTTCTCTAGTTTTCTGACCACTCGGAATGCTTTAACGCTACATATCGTCATTCACGCATTTACACCTATTCATACTCTGATGACAGGAGCTACCATCAAGGGTGCCACCTGCCCATCACACTATCTAACATTTAAACAACATTCACACACCACAGGAACAGCCTACGTGAGCAGTGTCTTGCCCAAAGACACATGGACTAGAGGAGCCGGGGATCAAACCACCGATCCTCTGATTGAAGGACGACCTGTTCACTGAGCCACAGTCACCCCATGTATCAGGTAGTTGGTATTGTAAGGAGAGAAAAAACAAGTCAAACATAAAGAGTGAACATTCTGCAGACATGTTCAAACTAAAGCTTTGTAGATATGTTGATTTTAAAAAGACAAAATAATATGGACGCCATTTGGTTTCCCCCAAAATGTATTTAGAAAATGCTGAGTAAATCTTAGGAGTGGTTGAATGGGTAAACGCAGAATACACTGGCCACAACGGTTATCTGCCTAATGTTTCCCAGACTCAGTTATTACCCCCCCCACACACACACACACACTCCCACCCCATCCACACATGGGCACCAGCTGTGTGTTTTTCCAGCTCCCTGAGTACCACCACCCTCCAGTTGGAGTAGAGCAGATATGTGGGAGAAAGAAGTTTATTTTGATAACCGAAACAGTCCAAATTACTGAGCTGGCTGGCTGCGAGTCAAACTGGTGGAACACTCAAAGGACTTCAGAGAAAACTCTAAATAGCATTGCACACTTGTAGCTGGTGGGCATGCTCACATGCTTGCAGATGTGTGCATGCGCTCTTTCATGTAGCCACTTGCTCTTTTCCTGTTACATCAAGCAGACATCCCATATACACTATGAATGTGGCGTGTACACCTGCACTGGTGTAAATTTAATTAACTGACAGAAGTGGAGAGTTTTTTCCGAGTTATTGTTTGACTTGATTTTAGTAAGTTTGGGCAGTAAACCACTAATTTGCAAATTAGATCCAAACCACATTTGGAGGTGGTTTGAAACGCTATTCCAATCAGATTTCTACAGATGCCTGTCAGTCCAGATGCTATCAATGCTCAAATTAGATTTCAAAGTGTGGAAGTGCTGAGCAGAGTCCATGCTGCTGGCAGAGCGCTATGGAAGACAGCAAAGGAGACAAACAGCCGTGGTCAGACACTGAAATAAATTGTCTGCTGGCACTTTCACTCTTTCCCTTTCTGCTGCTTCCCCACAACATCGCAAGGTATCCCAGCCTCCACGACAGCAAGAGGGGGCAATGCCTTCATGTTGCAAAGCTGCGTCATCAGCTTATATCATTACAATGGCAACTCATCAGATAGGTTGGTGATATCTATACAGAAAAATCCAGTCTGATCACTTGCCAATAACAGTGCAGACAGTCTTTCTTAAAGAGTCAATAGAAAGATGCAAGTAGCACAATAAGCAAACTCGCTCAAGGCAGACATGTCCACACAAGTTGAAAATGTTCTAACTCTATAAATCTACCTCAGAAATGTACACATACACATATTACCACCCTGCCTCGTTCAACTTCTCTCACTCACCCATTATTCCCATCACACACAAGACATCAAACATCTGTCCAGTTATTTGACTAGCTGTTCTGTGCAAATATAATGTTCATAAACAGTCCAGCAGTCACATTTATGCGAGCAGTGGGAGGTGAAAAATGACTTCCACCTCTGTCTTCCAACTTTAGCTGTTATCACCAAAACCTCACTGTGAGACCTCACAAATGCTCTTTTGGCTGAAAATCCCTGCAGCCAGGTGCCAACATCTGGGGGAAGGTTTTCCCCAAAGAGCCTGTAGCAGCATACAGTATTACTCCCTAAGGTTTTGGAATTAAATGTTTAACTATCAATGAGTGTAATGTCTGTATTTCCACATATGTTGTCACTACATGACCTTTGGTCCTGGTGTCCCAATCAGTCCAGCAGTGCCTGGTAATCCTGGCTCCCCCTGGTTGGACGATAAACACACTCTGAGAGGAAAACTGGAGCAGCGGCAGCCAAATTCAACACCATTACTGTAATCATCTATGTAAACAAAGGAGAAGCTCGGATAACAACACACACACAGAAGGAGAGCGACTTCATTCTCAGCTGAGGTGGACATTACTTATATCTTTACACAGCAAATAGTTGTTTGCTGCTAAATTCATTTTCAGAATGTTAATTACAGAACATTTAATGAGAGCTGGATCTTACTGTTGGTCCAGATTCTCCTGGAGGTCCTTGCTCACCTCTCTCGCCAGCAAGACCCTGTATAAAAGGAAATGTGATGACATTTGGTACTGATATTCAATATATTCAATTTGTTTATCTAATCAGTAGTCATTGTTTTGTATTCTTTAATTCATAAGGGGTCTCATTTATTATTGCATATACACAAAAGGGGCCAAAAATTGTGATCTATAAAAATGAACTTGAAGAAAGAATGTGCGCAACTTTATGGAAACTTTACCACATAAGTTTTCACATTATGATAGACGGAGGGAATTGGCGACATATGTTAAGGAGGTGAATTGAAGCTAGAATGTAGAAATTAAGTGTTATGAGCTCGCACTTTTAATTTGACTTCATATCACTGGCTACTTATAGATCCACTTTATCACAAACATTCAAACCAGCAGTAGCTTGTGCTAGTGAGCCCTAACAGACCGCAGAGAGTGGACTGTATGCTGCTGACACTGTGCAGTGAGCAGCTGTTGAAGTTATCATCATGGGTTGTAGAAATCTAACAGAACATCAATTAGCATTAAACAATTGCAGAAAAGAGTGTCAGAAGTTTTCAATATATATAATGTCGTATACTGCTCATATATCACCATGTATGATTTTAGTTTTCATATGTTTTTTGTGTGTAAACACGACTGTGTCTCCACTGCGACAGCCAGTGACAGCTCTCACACAATCATTACACTCCATATCCTCATTATCAAGCCTAATCATAATGCAGGCCAAGTTCACCCTCAACTTCAATTGATGATTGAATTGGGTCACCTATCAAACTTCCATTTTCAAATGAAATCCCAGGGAGGGGCATACCCTGATTGTGGCAATTAGTTTGGCAACTTGTGAAGCAATCACTCTGATTGCTGTAAACGTATACATACTGCATAATGCTGCATGATGGCACAGGCACTGCTAAAGGACTAAGTGTATGTATTGATTATTGACCATGTGGGCGCGTAGAGGGCGAGATATGAGGCAGTTACGCATGCTGACAATTCCAAGTTGATTTGCAACATATAACATGAAATGAAGTTTTAGCAGGTGTTTTTATAAATTTAGTTTTCATGATTCTGAATATTATTTGGCATATGCACATGTCTTAATTTGTATGCACACAAATATTTTGTCTGAATCCTACGCACTGTTTTACAAATGAGACCTCAGGACACTAAAACTCACCGCAAACCCAAAATAGTATCCATGTTAGAATCAATCTGAGCTGGTACATCCACTGTGGTAGTGCTTTACATTAGATACAAATCTTATTATTAATATATAATTAAATTATCATATGAGATGAAAAGGAAACCACTGCATTATACTTTTTGTTATAAGAGAAAATCTGGCCTCATATGTTCATCTATCACTCATTGTGTTACTCAGTTGAAGCGACACAGGAAATGCTTTTTCTCCAGGACCACTTGGTAGACGAGGAGTAATGCCAGAAAACAGGAATACAAAGCACTTCATCATTGGAACAAGATGATCATAATGAATGCTCTGTATGTCTGTGTTAAAATGACCCTATTGATTGGACCAAGGCAAAAATAGTGCGACAAAGAAAGTGAATTGTCCCTATGTCCCTGTGCGTAGTGCCCCTGATATGGGGGACACATTAGGTGTGGTAGCCAGAACTGGTTCATTTCCACTTTTATATACTGCACATGTATATAATGTATATTTATGAATCCATGAAGATATACTAAATATGCACAATATTTGACAAGGTTTCTTATCCAGGAAGCTTTACAATGCTACCCCAAATTCATGAGTAAGACAAAAGCATCACCAGATCTATCAAAAACAGACAACTCACAGCCACTGGGTTGTGTATGTTGGAGTAAGAGTCTTCAAGTAGCCAGGGGCATAGCTATGACTAGAAAGTGCTTTGCTTATTTAACACTCTCTATTGTTAGGCAGGTGTTACAGTCCTTGGTCTTTTGTCACCTGCTATACTGTCCATTCATATGGTCAGCAGCAACTAAGAAGGACATAAATAAACTACAACTGGTTCAAAACCGAGCTGCCAGATTAGCACTCCAGTGTTCAATGAGAACTAATACAGCATACATGCACTCTCGTCTGTCATGGTTCTCAGTGGAAATTAAACTCCACTATAGCCTTCTCATGTTTTTCAGAAACGGAGTATTTAATCAGACACCTGAATATTTCTTCAATCAGGTACAATACACGTGTAACAGACATAACCATCACACAAGGAATGCTAGCTCAGGTCACTTGATACCTCCAACCCCAAGAACTAACCTCCTCAACCGTACAGTTATTTTTCTTGCAATTACTGCTTGGAACTTCCTACCTCCTCATATAACTCATACAGGTAATAATCTGTCATTTAAAAAACAATAAAGGCTCACCTCAGGCCATTAAGCCATTAACTACTTGACGTTTTCCATTGCTTTTGTAGTCTCCTGATCCTTCTTTGTATAAATGATGGATGCACTGTGTGTATATGGTCGGTTATGACAATATACATCCTAGTCTTTGACTGCACTATGTATCTGATTGTACTATTTTTAACTGTTCGTTTCACGTCATGTTTTGCACGTTTTGTATGTATCACGTTTTGTCCTTTCTGTGGACCCCAGGAAGATTAGCGGCCACTAAGGCGTCAGCTAATGGGGATCCAGTTAATAAACTAATAAACTAACCAAGCACTATGATTGTGCTGACACACGTTTTTATGATTCTGTTAGGTAGCCCGGCCAACTGGGGCTGGCCAGAGATGTCTGCTCCCTCAAACCAAAGCTGTGTCTTGCAAAAAACTAGTAGGCTACAGTAAAAAAGTGTTGATGTATTAGTCTGGTTATCACTGAGTCAATATTTGCTCAGTTTCTGTCTTAACCATTATTGTATTAAGGGAGTCTCACCTTGGGTCCTAGTTCTCCTGATAAGCCTGGTTCCCCTCGGTCTCCCTAGGCAGTATCAGCAGAATCAGGTACTATCAGTACTGGCAGCAGATTAGGAAAGCCACAACACTGATACAACTGCTTCTTTAAAGATTTACCTTGATGCCTTTTAGACCAGGCTCCCCTCTTAGTCCTGCTGGGCCACCTTCACCCTGCCCAACCAAGGCAAGAAAGGAGGTAAGAGCATGCAATCAAAGTCTGGAACTAATTCAATAAAATGAATAAATGGTATCAAACATTTTAAAAGGCCATTGTAAAATCCATAGAGTATTTTCTCCATAACCTCCCCATTATGAAAGGCCAACGAAAGTTCGATGACCACATGCAAGTAGTGAACTTTGAACAGGGCAAAACCTGGAGATGTTGTTGTGATAACCTGAGAGATATATGGGATTAGCAGCCAGCCGATACATATTAGGGGTGCAACGGATCATAAAACTCAACCCATGCCCAGATTTTTTTGCCACAAATACCAATTGCCGATTGATGACGGCCAATAAAGATCGTTTTTGTTTTGTTTTGTTTTAATAAAAGACATAAAACTGAATAGTGTCGGCATAGCAAGACAGATTGATGGATAATGCATTTTAAAGAAAGCATATGGCGATTTGAAGCTGTTGTAACACAATTTATTTTTTACCTTCATCCCTGGTAATCCAGGAGGGCCGGATTCCCCAGGTTTCCCAACATTACCCTGGTGAGAATTAGAACATAAGCCGATTGTATCATGTGCATACAACTTGTATCTTGAAGACTGTTGACAGCAGTATGACATGATGAAAAATACAAATGTGATGAAATAAAAAAGTGATAAGCACTTACAGGCTTACCATCAGGTCCTGGTGGTCCATCCCTCCCTTTCTCCCCTCGGAAACCCTGAGACAGAAATTACAAAGGCTTTAATAAATGCATATTATTTTAGGCTGGCAATGATATGTCAGTCTCTCCAACATTTTGTTCCAGACAAAAATGATCCTAACAACTATTGGATGCCTGGCTGTGATGGTATACCATATTAACTCTTGTGATTCCCTGACATGTCCTTTTAGTGCTGGCTTGGCCAGGCACAGCCCAAAAACACTACATGGAGCTGCCGCCCTGTAGGCCCTCCCCTCATTGGGGCAAGGTGATTGTGAGCCAGGCACCAGGCAAAAACAGGGTCCTAGGCGTGCTGACTTCTGGAATCGCAGACTGCCTCTAGAGACGTGGAACGTTCCCCTCACCACTCTGGAAGGGAAGGAACTGAAGCTGGAGTGGGAGGTGGAGCAGTATGATGAAGATGCCTCCTGGATGGCTCCCAATAGCTTTTCTATTAAGCCCCAGGTACGTAGATTTGTAGCAGATACCAATTTTTAGCAGATACCCCTGAGTATTAGAAGTCTGCCCCCATTTTTTAAGTACTGCATGTTTCAACAACCATCCATAAAGTATACTAAGAGTCACTGCAACTAGATGTCATTAGAGGACAGAAGTTGAGTTGTCTAGTTTCCAATGGGCCTGTTGCGTACTCCTCAATGTCCATATACGTTTGTACATACCACTGTATAACAGTGTGTGAATAACCACCAGAAGTTATAATGACCTCCGATATAATGAGATAGTGTTGACTCCAATAGGAGCAGATGTATTATTGCAACAATACAAATAAAACAAGAAAACATGGGTATGTTGGCAAGCAGTGCATTCTGTGTCCATCTATTTCTAGAGTTTGTTTTTTAATGCTATAATAACAAAGTAATAATAGCTGGGGTTGTATCAGTACAGTCCGTTACATCATAGTTAGGAGATCGGGTGCTGTGTTACAACCACTAAGGCAGTGGTTCTCAAACTTTTTCTGTCGTGCCCCACTTTGGAGGAAGAAAAATGTTCATGCCCCACCGCCACAACAAAATTGTAACAAAATGGTCCATGTTGAACTTTTATTGAAATAACATTTTGTGACTCCTCTGTCTGTGCTTTTTCAAATAATAGAATAAAGAAAATTGCAATCACTTTTAAGTAAACCAGATTACTCCATCAGACAAAAACAAATAAAATGTGCCATCACTTTGTTGGAACAATGCAAATAAAGTTATATCTGTGCAAAAAAGAACTACAATTTGGCAAAAAGCCTCCTGTGGACAGGTGTTTTAAATTAGCATTTCGCTTCAAACACTTAACACAGTGCATCTGGGCTTTGTGCATAAATGTATGTTACAATTCTAATGCTACTGTGATGTCCATATCAAATAAAATAAACATAACATTATTATGAGATAGTAAGTCATTATTATGAGATGCTAAGTCATTATTTTGAGATAGTATCTCATTATAATGACTTACAGGATCTGTATTTTTCCTCACAGTGGTGGAAACGGGCTTCCATACATTTCGCCATGTATATTAATTACTTAAAAAAAAATAATAAATAAATAAAAATTCTGCATTTCCCCCTGCGCCCCACCTGTAATACCACCGCGTCCCACTAGAGGGGCGCGCCCCACAGTTTGAGAACCACTGCACTAAGGGAAAGAGACAAGTCATATATCAAATGTCCTCTTAATCTTATAGGATGAAGCGTGTGTTACCATGGGACCTGGCAGGCCACGCTGCCCTTGTGGTCCAACTACACAGTTGCAGTCTTCTTCCTCCACTGTGGCTGTTCGATTCAGAGGACACTGAGGAAACACAGACACACACAATGTCTACAATACAAAACATACTCAAAGCTGCCACATTAGGTAGATAAAACATCATGACCACATCAACAGTGTGACTTGTGAAAGTTGCCAGTAATTTCCACGATGCAGAATCTAGTCAGGTGTGATATTACCTTTGCTTCAATGGCGTATTAGGGCCAAGAAAAAGCTGAGAAAAATAGCGCTGTTGTTTTTGGAAAAACATTGCTTCACTTGGCAAGGTTGGATCAACCTCATCACATGGTACCATTAAACACTGAGACGCAGAGTTCAAAAATATATTATATTAAGTTTTTTTCTCGAAAAATTAGAGTGTTTTTCGTGAGATATTATCCCCCTACCCCTGCTGCATATTATTTTGTTTTTTTTACCTACAATGTCACTAATTTGCACTACATTGGTAAAAACTTTCAGGCAGTACCTCTAAAGTGTGTAAAGAACAGGATAGAAACTCCACTTACCCTTTCATCATCCTGTGTAGCATGAGAGAGGACAAAAGAAAAAAATAATGGGTCATTATCATCATTGTGGCCTCTTACACGCGGCTGTATACAGAAGTACATAATGTGACCTTTGCAGTGGAGATTACAGTGGATACTAACACATTCTCACTCCCAACTCCTCAATTACTGACCCTACTATGACGCTCTACGTATCCCTCTAGCAGGGACAACATGTCAGTTTTCAGTCATTATATGCATAGTGTCTTTTCAAAATAAACTTCCATCTTCACAGGAAGTTAGGTTAAGGCAAAAAAAAAACATTAACTCGACTGACTAATGACTCGCATGACTAGTGGGTGACAAACGACCCATGAGAGTCACGTGACTATAGACTCATGTGACTAATGACTGACGTGATAGAAATGTGAACGTTTACTTTCAGTTTGGCGAGGAACAAAAACAGCAGTCTCCTGGATGAAAGTCCTGTGTTTGTTTGACCACATGCTATCACTCCCACCTTCCCAGTGTAGACTATCTTGCTTGACTGTCTAATAATGCTGCACGTGGGTTTATATTGGAGTTAGCCCAGCATGTTGCACACAGATGCTGAAAGGTGCCTCTATATGTTGGTATCTGATGAGTTCGGAGCATAAGGGTGTTGTGGATACAGGAGACAGTAGAGATCTTACCACAGAGTAAATCTCACAAGCTGTTTCTCTCTCACTCTGATGAGGATCACAGTACAGACGCAGCTTCTGAATCTCCACCTGAATAAAAGGACAATGAAAAATGTAATTGTGGTAAGGAAAATTGGAAATGTTGTTTGGGTAAAATGTAAAATTATTAATGAAATTACTAAATGTATGAGCCAAGACCCACAACGCTTTCAGACGCTGAAAAATAAAATGATGAGCTAAGATAAATAAAAGAGTAAAATGAATCAAGTTTTCATTCATTTATTACTCCTGTATTATCTCCACTGGCTCTCTGTAAAATCAAGAATAGAATTTAAAATCCTTCACCTCACCTACGAAGCCCTAATTGGTCCGGCACCATCATATCTTAAGGAGCTTATAGTACCATATTACTCCACTAGAGAGCTGCGCTCCCTCAATTCAGGGTTACTTGTTGTTCCTAGAGTCTTAAAAAGTAGGATTGGAGCCAGAACCTTCAGCTATCAAGCTCCTCTTCTGTGGAACCAGCTTCCAGTTTCAGTCCGGGGGGACAGACACACTCACCACATTTAAGCGTTGACTTCAGACTTTCCTTTTTGATAACGCTTATAGTTAGGGCTGGCTCAGGTTTATAGTTAGGGCTGGCTCAGGTTTATAGT